CATGAGTCCTCCATGCTTGGAAGCAGTGAGGGAGGGGTAATCAGTTCTCTGCAAAGTCACTGCTAGATGGCACTAAATCTTACACACTGCACTTTTAAAATGAAAATAAAATACCTGAAAAAGGTTTGCTGCCATGGGTTGTTTTTGTTGCCATGGTTACAGTCAGTGTACGGTCTCAATATGCATTGAATCTAACTTTGGTTAACAATTAATTAATAATTAAGAAGACATCCCTAACAAACACATTTGTCATATTTGGAAAAAAAAAAAGCTAATTATAAAGATGTTTTAATAGGTCCTCATTCAATTTACTAATTTTCATCAATAGCTTCATTAATTGAATTATTTGTATTTAATCTGGGAGGCTGGGTATCAGTGTGTCACCCTTCCCTCTGTTCTCGGAGTCACTACCTCCCAGCTTCCGGACTCCATCTCCCAGAACACCTCACCTGATCACATGACCTCTCTTCTCCCTCACATGACTCTCCACTGGTCTGCTTCACCTGACTACTGATTAACCTCACCTGTTCCTTGTTTCTTGTGACCTGTTAGTTTAGAACATAAGCCCGGGCTTTAGCATAGGGCCTTTGTGAAGCAATGTCCTTGTTTACAGAGCCTTATTGAGCCTTCTAGTCTGTTGGTGTGCTTTTCTGTGTATGACCATTGCCTCGTTTGTTTCTGACCTTGCCTTTTGCCTTGCCCTCTCAGTAGTTTGGTGATTTCTGGTTCGACCTTGTTTACTTTGGTTTTTGGTCTTCCCTTATGGTTACTGTTTTCACGTTCTGGCTTTTGACTTTGGACTGGTTGACCTTGATTTTGGATACTCCTTTTGTTAATAAACCTATTTTACTTCAATGTCTGTAATTACATAAATCAAAGACAATACACTGTGGTGTATAAAAATCTTCTAGGTGAAAGACTGAGTTCCACTGCACTACAGTACCTACTTACAGGTGAAATTCCACTACTGAATAAAAAAAACATTTTTGCTTCATCATTTATTGAGTATGTCGTCAGTTCACTCCTTTTCTGAAACTAATAACGGATGAAGTCAATTCATTTTTATTCTGACTGTTTCTCTTCTTACTTATACACATCATATTTTTAAAGTGACCTGTCACAGGATAGAGCACCAATGCCATCAGTGAAGAGAGAGTAGGCAGAGATTAAACTTTAATCACTGACACAAAACCAAATGATAATGAGGCAAGAAAATTATGAAAAAAAATAAAAAAATAAAGTTGGCTGGTACCAGTTACTGCAAACAGTTAAAAAACTTCTCCAAAAGAAACTTAGCAGATCTGATAAAAACACAACAATACCCAGCAGAAAAGATAGCATTAAAAAGGGCTCATAGGAAAAGTTCCAAGACTCAGCACAGGAGTTTACACTAGGCAGCTTCTGATGTCTTCCTAATGAGCTGCAGTTGTAACTATCTAATGGTAAAGTCTTCCCAAACAGTTTCTAATGAGAAGCATTTGCGCTCAATATATGTTTGAGTCCTTTTGAAGTCCAGTTATAGAACTTTGCAACAATGTCTTATGTACATTCATGACATCAGTGAGCACAAACCACTTTACGGATGGATGCCCTCTAGTGTTTTGTAGTCAAGTTTTTAATGGGAGAAATAGGAAGTGGCCAGGCCCCCCTCAAACTAGCTCTGGTCTACCCAGGCTAACCTCAGCCTTGGGGGCTCTTGTATAGCACCCTATTTAATGCTGGCCTACTTCTGGCACAGTTCTTGCCAGCTGAGCGTGCCACAACTGGTCCAACGCTGGCAGCCCATCCCAGACTCTTTTTAAATGACTCCTTTTTCAGATGCCAAATTTGTACTGAGTCTGTTATAACTGGACTAAAAACACCCCAAAATCATTGTGTTTTCATTCACTCTCTTTACTGCTAGGGATGTCACCTCAACCTTGGGGGTTCCTGACTCCATGGCACCACCTACTGCTTGAGTGTGGCATGACATGACCAGTTTGACTTGAGCTACATTGCACTCCCAGGGCCCTTAAGCAGTACCATTATATTCCGTACACACCTGAGCAGATGCTGTCAGTTAAGGGAACTACAGTTGATAAATCCTTTCATTTGGAACATCCGGCAGCATCATAAACACAAAGCAACTCTCATCTTCGGGAAACATGCAGTGACTGATGAGTTCCTGCAACTTCCTGCGAAGTGAAAATTTGTTGGCCTCTGTTTGAGGTTTTTTCCATTTAGAACAGAAAAATCTTAGTTTGTAAGTCACCCATTTTGTAACATGTTTAAAGACAGAAAAAATGTATGGCACCCTGTTTAGCCATGAAATGGTGGCCCACTTTTGGCCCAGTTCTTGCCAGCTGAGCGTGCCACAACTGGTCCAATGCTGACAGCCCATCTGAGACTCTTTTTGAATGATGTTTCTTCAGATGCCAAATTTGTCTGTCATAACTGGACCACAAACACCTTAAAATCACTGTGTTTTCATTTGTTCTCTTTACACATCTCTTTTCTCTTTGTTTCTCTTTGCATTCTCAATTTGCAGTTTTTACTGTATACTTTATTGATAGTGGACTCCCAGCTAGAAGTTTTTTGCTCTAAAAACATTTTGAGAATATTAAACACATGTTCTATTATTGGTTTCAGTGGTATTTTTTGTTGTTGTTGTTGTTGTTCCCAGAATGTTCTTCTGGGAATGTTCTCCAAAAACATCATCATGTAACATAATCCATGGCCCTGATAACATCCTCAAAACATCCTCTGAATATCGCAGTTAAAACATTGTCTTAGTTGACATGTAACCCTATAGAAACATTATGTGAGATGATGAACATCTTTAAAATGTTCTTTGAACATCAGATTTCCTTAAACATTATTAGGAATTATAAGTAACGTAGCCAAAGTTATGGGAACGTTCCCTGCTAGCTGGGCTTTACATATACAAGAAATAACTATAAGACTGTACTGACTGTTGAATAGCATGAAAAATCCTCTGGTGTCAGACTTTTTGTACAAACATTTGTCCTCCACTCTTGTGAGTTTAAGCTAATGTTGGCCGAGTTTGTATTTGCATTCTGCTTAGTGTCAGATGGTGTCAACACTATTTCTAGTTGCTTCTCTCTCACTCTCTGTGCTCACATAGGCTATACTGTATTTTACTACAGCCAACTTCCTGATAAGGCTCTAATTTACATATTTTTCTATTTCTGTTGTCAGACAGCGGGACAGGGTAGGAAACAGTGACTGAAACATGGCCCATTAAGACTAGATGTTCATCAGCAGTCACTTCCAATCCCCTTCCAAACTGCTGCTCTGCACTACTAAAATGCTGATTTTATAACCTCAACATCATCTGACAAAATCACCATACACATGGTTTAAAGACAACAGCTGTGCTTTGATTTCGGCTACATTTACATGTAAAATGATCACTCAGAGGGAAAGTCAGAAGAACAGACTATATTTGTTGTCCCACACAGCGCTCCATCTGTGTGACAAACCACGAGAGTGACAGGACAGTGATAACGGTCAAAATAATCAGATGAAATTGTTTAAATTAAAACAAAGGAGGAGCAAATGATACAAATTAGTGATGGGTCCTTGTCAACATTGTTTGCTCATGTGCAGCTCATTCACATCTATGTCAGCTGACTTTTTTGAGGCACTAAAGGGGTCTGAAAAGTCATTGAACTCAGCAACAAAGTCACTAAGTTGGCAACATTGGGCCAAACCGCTTGCGTTTAAGTTGCCATTATTTTCCATGGCATTCACACGCTTTCTTTTCTCCAGTGCTGCTGGAGTTATCAGCGCATGGAACTGGCCCTGAATCAAAGAGTGGATGCAGAGCCACAGCCATCCAACCTGAGTTGGGCCAGAGGCTTTTCAACAAGTACTAGCCAAGCCGAACTGTGGCAAAACCGGGTCGGCACTGGTCTAAATGTTTCTGGGCCAATCCTTCCTTGGGTGACCTGCTAGTCCAGTCAGCTCCCTACCTCAGGAATACCATATTAGTTGTTCTCATGTAGATTTGATAAATCTTGAACACCTGTGTTTCTTGCAGTATAGGACACAGAGTATATAGAAACACACATTATTATGTACCAAAAATAGACCCAAAAATATATACTTTAGTATGTTTAAAGTATCAATGTTAGTCATTTTTTATGTTCTTGTTCATCAGTGTTCTGTCACTACCCAGCGTATATAAAGGAAATACATCATGCAAACATTGGAAATCCCTGTGGTGTCACCTAATCCTGACTTTTAGCCTAGTCGCTGATCTATAGGCTAATAAATACAATCATGCTAGCATAAGCTAGTTGTCAAACAAAATTGTAAAGAAAACACATGGAATCTTTAGTGAGCAGAAAATGCACAACAACAGCTGTAGCAATGGTTGTGTTTTTCATTTTGGCAGTGTCCCTTTAGTAATCCAGCCTAGCGAGTCTGCTGTTTTCAACTCTTTTCAACAAACTCTTAAAAGAGCAATTCATAAGATTTGTAATTAGATTTTTTTTTTTCATACTTGTGGAAACTTGTTCAAAAATTATTTTGGTGACTATTTACTTTCAGTCCTTGTTAGCATCGCCAGCTTGGCAGCTCCAGTTTTAAACTAAAGAAGCAAAACTTGGACACTAAACACATCTTAGCTGATCGACTGCATTTTGGACATTTCATTTTATTTTTTGCCCAACTATTCCTTTGAAGTGACCGGTTATTTTTGAGGAAACAGAGCAACATAGAGGATTCTCTTCACTGGTGTAATAGCTAATGATCAGTGCACTGTATAAACTTTCCTGGTTTTATGGAGGTTTTTTTTTTTTTGCCTTCTCTGTTTGTATATGTTTGAATTTCTTAGAAACACACTGCATGGATGAAATGGAGAACTCAATATAAGGAGTCACTGTTTGGTGCCATCTCGATGTAACAAGTCTGCTATAATTTGAATTGCAAAGCTAGTGATGGCACAGTAAAGAGCAGGAAAACATCTAGTGTGAATATTGCTGCTTTATTCTTAATGTGTGACACATCATTGGAAGTTTTCAGTGGCCTCTATGTACATGATCCTGAAAATCCTAAATAACCTGCTAGGAATCATTTTGGGTTAATATATCCTTTTAGATGCACGGATTCTGGATTCCAGAAAGGTGAGTTAATTACTTAATTTGTTTGTTTTACAAGTCTGAAATGATGCACTGTCCAGTCCAGTGTTGTTGTTGTTGTACTACTGATTAAACACTACTAATAATGTTGAGAGCTGCTCTGACTTTAATATACAGAAATCTGCTAAATGACCAATGAAAATCATATTACTTGGTCCTGTTTAAGACACTATTTAGACATTATTAGACATCATTGTGCATTCATTACATAGGAGGATGTAAAAACTGTATTGAATCAAATTATATCGATTATATTGATTTTTTTCCAGTACATCTAAACATCAGGGTGTACTGATCAGTGGAGGCAGGTGTAAATGAGCTAGCAGCACTAAGGCCTCCCCCTCTTTCAAAGAAAGAAATGTATCAAAATAAGTTTTCTGAATCAAAATGACTATTTCCATGTATGTGTTTAATGAATTTAGATGCTTTCCTTGTCAAATCTTGCAGCCAAAGACAAGTGTGAGACTGTAATGAGGATAAGATCACATTTACTAACATTTTTTTTAAGAATACCACTTGTTTTTAGAAATATTCTTAGGAAAATAGTTAAGAAAAAATAAAAAAATGTTAATAGGTGATTTGAAGAATCATAATTTTTCATAACTTATAAGAATGATAAAAAAAAACACACATTTAAGAAGATTTTCTTTCTTAAGACACTTTCATGAATCCGGCCCCAGGTCCGTATCTCAGCTTTACCTGAATTTCAGTGTAAACCAGCGTACAAAACTAAAGGGAAACACACTGCCTGCTAGCTCACTGCTCCCACTGTTTACTGTTAGGCTCCCTGAAGCTTGCTTTCCTAGCTCCGCCCTTCAGAATAAGAGTCCACAGCTAAATAAACCTTATAAATAAATGCAGTCGAACTAAATAACCCCAAATTAACACGTAAACATTTCCCAAACAGCTTATTATTTTTAAATGGAACAGAACGCAGGTCTCTGATGCCTCAATATAATGACTGTTACGTACAGAATATTACAGAATGATTTGAACATTTGTAGAATGAACATTTGTGCAGTTGTGTAAATAATCATTATGGTACAGAAGGAGTTATACTGTAATACAGTAAGGGCGGTTTGTTGGGTTCAGTTTACGTTTAAAGTGTGGTTAATGAGCTACAGCTCTGGGGAAAAGCTGTTAGCCTGTCTGCATGTGCTAGCTTTGACGGCCCTGAATTTAATTTATTGTAAGTTTTGACATCCATATTTTTATATGCTGTTAAAAATTGGCTAGAAGCTGGCTCTTTTGGACTTCTGTTGACCCTACAGCAACAGCACCGGCAAAAGGTCTTAAGAAAAGTATGAATTGGCTACGATGATTTATGCCTAGCCCCTAGCTGAAGATTCAAACAGCCAATCTGTGACTCCCTGTCAGATGTGTTGTGACTTACACAAAGTGAAATGCCATGTAGAGTCATTATACATTTGGGCTCCTTTTAGTTAACCCAGGATGCCTAGCTATGCCTTCCCACAATCTGCAGTCAATAATCATTAGTGGGTAGGTCAGTTCTAAAATCTGATTGGCTACGACCTGCTTAAAATCAATGTAAATTAATTTTGCTTATGCTGAGAGTCAGAGTGCTGTAGGAGCAGTGCACAGACATTTGGAGCTTATAACTGCTTGTAACAGACATTCTGGTTAGATATATTCTATAATTTGTATGTTACTGTTTTTCAGTAACGATTTAAATCTTGTCATGTTCTGCTCACTCATGTTGTAGTTCATACAAAGTCTAATGCTGCTCTGAAATATACTGCAATTGCTCTGTTATATGATGTATAGGTCATGTCATGGATTAGCAAGTATAACTTTTCTACAAAATTACACAACAGCACTCCAAATTGTTAATTATTAAATCGATATATTTATATATTTCAACTTCTACATTGCCTCTTAAATACATGGATTAACTTCTTATTAAATTTCACTTTAAATCAAGTAATTTACTGTTAATAAATTGACACAATCTAGATCTAATTACTGTTTATAACTGAAAGATCTAGTCAAGCAACCTTTATGTACCAAAATATCACTTTTCCTACATCAACAGTGTTAATAGCAATTATTCAGTAAGCTGTCTAATTCAGGTAATCTAATTCAATTTGATTTTGCTTTAAGACATTACAGGACTCAGAGACAAATCAGAGGAAGTTAGCATTCATGCTTAAGGTGCTATGTTTTAAAACTTCATTTAGGTAAGTAACATCAGTAAGTGATCTTATCTGCTTTCATATATGTTTTAATAATATTTATTTATTTATTTATTTATGCTTGTCTGTTTCAATACAGAATGGTGAAAGTGGTATTTGCTGTAATGATCTTCATTTCACTGCTAATTGGCAGTGATAAAACCTCTAATCCTACAACCAAAGGTAAATAAACACAGACAGTCTGTCTATCTGCCTACCAACCCATCTGTCTTTTCAAAATCTACATATTAGCCAAAATACAGTGCAAGGAAAAGCCACCAATTATTTTTTATATCTGCAGTATTTTACACAGCACAGGATGTAAATGGATATCCATACCAGATCAAAGAGTGATATAAGAAATTATAGATGTAGTTTCAGTTTTAGAATTTTAAAGAAGAAATTATCTGAGGCAGTACCCTTCTTGTCACTGCACTGTTAGAAATAAAGGTTCTGTTCAGGTACATTTTTTGTTCATCAAGGTACAAACAATGTAAATGTTCCGTCAAAAGGTACAACGGTGGTTTTAAGGTTCAATTGTGAACCTTAAATAAACTTTCCCTTTTCCCATATTTGGACCTTTTCATGACCTAATGTGTCAAAACAGAACGATAAAATAAAAAGCCTGGAGACGAGGCAGGGTGTATGGAGTCAGTACAACTTAGAAAACATAATTTCAATGGATTATGTTCCCTGACTAAAGGTACTCTTGAGGGTACTGCCAGAGTGACAGTTTTGTACTTTTATTTCTGAGAGTATAGGGTGGTGCCCTCAAGGGTACATCTCAGTACCCTTAGTCAGGGAACATAACTGTACCATAATCCACTGAAATGATATTTTTCTAAGTTGTACTGATTCCACACACCCCATCTCAACTCCAGGCTTTTTACTTTATTGTTCTGTTTTAAAACTTTAAGTACAAATATGTACTTTTCACCTGGGAACAACTTAAAAAGGTACACAATTGGACCTTAAAACCACTGTAAGGTTCAGGTACAACATTGTTTGTACCTGAACAAAAAAATGTACCTGTATGTACCTGTATTTCTAACAGTGAATAGAATTTGTAAAATGTGTATTTTACATATTTCTCTGCATGTCATTTGCATTGGCTAAATAGTAAGAGTACTTGGCAATTACTTGTCAAGTTGGTAAATCAGTCTTTAGTGAGCGTAGAAGAGCAAGATCTCCTCTATTGAGAAAAGTGCTCAAAGCAGAATGTTGTTATATTTCAGTGATAATGACTCCTCTTACAACCACTCACACAGCAGAGTTAAATGTTGATCTTCGTGATCTCAACACTAACATAACCGTTTTAATGGTGAACTCAACAGCCATCGTCATTTTTATTTTCATGTCTATTTTTTCATTTCCATGCGTCTAATACCCTAATCAGCAACTAAACTGCCCATGTAGCTCACCTGAACATACTGATGCTGAATGATCTGGTTAAAATATGACTGAAGAGTTAGTAGGACATTGTCCATGTTATGTCAAAAAAAAAAAAGTTTTGTTTATATGCATGCCAAGCCTATACTGCACTAAAACCTGATCCCTTTGATTATTATATTAGTTGGCTTTAAAAGGCAAGGTGCCCAAGCATCTGAAAGAATAAGAAGAACCTAATACACAGATGAAACAAGTACTTCTTTTTCAATCGCCTTTATTTGGAAGAGAGCAATTACATTTATGGGATTTTGCAGACACTCTAATCCAGATCAACTTACAGTTTAACCACTTTACACAGGTTGGCGAAGGTTGTGTTAGGAGTCTTGCCCAAGGACTCTCATTGGTATAGTGTAGGGTGTCTGCCCAGGTGGGGGACTGAACCCCAGTCTACAGCTTAGAAGGCAGAGGTGTTATCCACTACACTATAGCAATGTTTTATCGAAATGATCAAAGTTCTTTAGAAATAACCAAGATTTTGTTGGGTTAGCTTTCATATTGGTAAGTACAAAGTTGTTATTGGTGTAGCTGATTTATCAGAATATAATTAGCTAAGATAAGATACAACTGTATAAAATGATTCAATTTGTGCAATTTCATAAGTTTCTAATCAGTAGGACACTAGGAAGGTAAAAATAAAAAGTATGAAATCTTACATGCGTCAAGAAAAATGAACAGAGTCAGGTAGGATTTAAAAAATGACTAAAGTAAGCTGTGTAACATTGAGAAATTAGTTATAATAAATTTAAGAACCTTTGTGTAAAACATGTAATAAAAACAATTCTTTATTGCTTATCTTTTTGCTCTTTCATTTAAAATATTAAAAATCTCATTTTTATTTGAAACCTTCTTATGAAAGTTTTAAATCTATGTGTCACAATTTTAGGCACCCCAAAAAACTCTTAAGAGAGAATTCTAACTGAAGTAAATTCCCATTAATATATGTTTTTAAGTTCAACTGAGTGATTAGGAACACAAATGGTCAGTCACGACTTCCTGTATCACTGGGGAATATGAGATGAAACAGGCCAAATGCCCTCAGTCATCCATCACTATGAGAAAGACCAGAGAAAACAGCAGTGACGTACGACAAAAGGTTGTTTAGCTGCACGAATCAGAAAACGGCTACAAGAAAATAGCTAAACAGCCGAAAATGGTCGTTTCCACTATTAGGTCAACATTTAAGAAGTTTACAGCAACCGAAGATGTTAAGAACCTGCAGGGAAGAGGATGTATGTATTTACTGACCCCATGCACATTGTCCTCATTGGTTGGATGGTTTGGATGGACAAAGAATGTCCAAGCACAAGTTGTTTGGGGGGGTTGCCAGAAAAAAGCTTCTGCTGTCAAAGACCAACAAGCTCAATCTCCTACAGTTTGCCAGACATTACTGGAACTTTCAGTGGCACTGTGTTCTGTGGTCAGATGAGACCAAAATAGAGGTTTTTGGCAACAAACACCAGAAGTGAGTTTGGTGTGGACACCAAGACAGCCATGCAGAAAAGCACCTCATCCACACTGTGAAGTATGGTGGTGGATCTATGATGATGTGGGGCTGTTTGTCTTCTAAAGGCCCTGGACAACTTGTTCGTATACATGGTATCCCAGACTGCATCACATACCGGCAGATATTAAGTCAAAATCCGGCTCAACCAGGAAGTTTAAGCTCGACTGTGGATGGATCTTCCAGTAAGACAGTGATCCAAAGCACACCCTAGAAATCAACACATAAGTTGTTCACTGACCACAAAATTAAGGTTTTGCAATGGTCACCCCCCCCCTAACCTACTCCACATAGAAAACCTGTGGAATCAGCTGAAGAGGAGAGTCCACAAACATGGAGCCTAAAAGATCTGGAGAGGTTCTGTATGGAGGAATGGTCTCAGGTCATGTGCCTGTGTTCTCCAGTCTCAGGAGAAAACTCAGAGCTGTTGTCTTTGCAAAGGGAGGCTGCACAATGTATTAAATAAAGGGGTGCTAACAATTGTGGCACACTTAGATTTGAAAAGTGTTTTCAATGGTAAGATTTAGTTTTTTTAGATTTTATACAGCTATTTTAGGTTAGCAGTCATAGTGTTGGATAAACAAAGCATGTTATGTGGTATGAAAGTTATGGGCTGATAGACCCAATCCCATTTCTTCTTTTTATCCCTACACCTTGTTTTCAAGCGTCACCCTAGCCCTTTAGAACGAAGTTAAAGGGTAGTGGTTGAAATCTTGCCCTATGAAACAGGACAAATCCCAAAAAAAAAAAAAAACATTGCTGCATTATCAGGCAGCTAGCGCTGCTCTGTAGGCGACCCAGCCCGTCTTCAGTGATAGCAGAGGAGGGAAAAGTTCAGCTTCTCACTGCTGGACTTTAGTTACATTTAGGGCATCATATGCCTTCAAAGAGGGGGTATAAGACAATTATTCATTATTGTCCACCCCTAATTCTTTAGTGACATGAAGCTGAAGTGAGCTATTCACCAGGTTCTTGTTCAAATTTTCCCATTCCACCTTAAATGGTGCAGCAGTTACATTCTGGCGCTTCAGGCATCAGAACTGCTGAACTACTTAAGGTGGAACAGAAAAATTAGCTAGCTAACTGCCAAGACATTCGCATACTTTTAGCAATTTTTATGCTTGTTATGAAGAAAATGACTATAATACATTGAAAAAACATTAAACTAAGATAATACGATAGTTATCACATTTGTGGGTTTCTTTGGTCGCTTGCGTAGCCATCCTGCCGGTTTTTCTTTTTTTTCTAATAACACTCCGTTTGGAGTGAGTCTCTGAAAAACCTCAGTCTAGAGGGTCATGTAGCCTTAACACTTCGCCCTACACCTCTATCTCAACAACAATTAGGACACCCTAAGCCTAGACGTGAACACGCAAAACAGAGGATTAAGGGCTAAGTGGTAGGGGCGAGGGGTGAAATGGGATTGGGGCTAAGAGTGATTTTGTGCAAGTTTCTCACAGGATGGTAGTTTGTGAGCCCTGCTTTAGACCTTATCTGCCTAGCAGCACCAGGATGTCCATGTACCTTCTGCCACAGCAGTGGCCTGACCAGTTTCTCTCTAACTTCAGGCTGCAAGACCACACCGCAGCCCAAACCCAGTTCAACCACACCGCAGCCCAAACCCAGTTCAACCACACATGAATCTAATGGTCCTGACTGTGTTAACTCTGCAGGACAAGGTAAGGATCCTCCTCTAGCCCACTATTCACTTAATAACTCTCTCACACAGGGATGTTCATCACAAATGAGAAAGAAATAACTCTGTTAGGTGGCATGAAAATCATGGGCTGATAGATTAAGAGTGAGGCATTTTGTTTGAAAGAAAACATGAATAAGTCAGTTCAAATGTATTTACACTGAGATTACCAGTCATAATTTGTAATGTCATAACAATTAGAGTTATTCTCAAAACTGAATTCTCAAAACTCAATACTTTGTTTTTAGATGTGGTGTGTTTAACTGTATTATCTCAGAACATTAAGAAAAAAATATGAGTTCTTTTTGGCAATATCAATATATATTTTCCTTTTGAGTTTGATATAGTATGTATAACATTGATAAAATTGTTAAATTTTCAGTATGTATTGATCACTTCCCAGAATTTGCAGTCAAAATTTGTGAATTAAGCTGCAAAAAAAAGCACTTTTTTAATTCACTGTTTTCATAAAATCATCTATTCAGCCTACAACAGTCTAGCCCTGCCCATTCATGGCGAAAATTACATGGAACATTTCAGTCTGGACTGCTTTTTGATTGATGCACAATAAACCAGAACCAATCAGAGCAGAGGTCACTTACATATGTCAGTCTTAAAGACACAGCAACAAAAAAAGCCTGTTTAATTCAAAGAGAAAGAGGGATTGGAAAATGGTCATGTACAAATTAATGACTGTTTTTGGTAAATAAAAACAGATACTCTAAGTAAACCTTAGGAGAAAAATAAAATACAAAAAATATACTATATGGGGCTGTTAATATAACATTTATAAATGTTTAATAAAACAAATTCAATGTAATCAGGCTTAAACCTTCTCAGAATTTACAATCTTATTTAAAATTTGAGTTCCTTTACTTTGATTTTTCATTCTATATTTTTTTTTAAAAGAGAGTTCATCTAGTATGCTTTAAAATTTGTGATTTCATCTGATATATTTCCTCCGTAGCCCTACAGAACATTTGCTAAAACTTTCATACAGTCTGTACAAGCTTGCAGAAAATGGGATTTAAATTAATCAATTTCATAAGTAATACCTTCAACACTAATCCCCTGTTGTGAAAGTGCAGTGTTCCAAAACAGTATTTTTCTTTATCATTCTTTTAAAGTAAATGGTATTTAAACAGTTTTCAAGTTATATGAATGACTCTGGTATATGAAATATGTGTCACTGGTGCAAACTCGGCTTAGCCTTTGTTTTATTGTGACCTTCTTGCAGTGATAGGCCCGGAGAATTGCACAGTCCCATCTCAGGTCTCTCTTAATTTCACACGGGAATTTATGAAAGCAGTTAATGACATCTTAAACACAAGTGACCTGAACACGGTGATGAGGTAAGGACCCCAAATCAGCAGTCACTTTATCAAGGACAGCTTTCATCAACTGACATGTCCTAGTGCAGGGGTGTTCAACTAAACTAGACATGACATTTCTTGCTTACAAGGTCTGGATGAACAAACTAACATCATTCATTTAAATGCTCAGGTATTAATGATTATTCCAGGCAACTATTAAAACAAACCAGACACATCAAATATACTTTGAGATATATATGTAAAACTTTTATTTTGAAGGTATTTTTATGATCTAATGAGCATTTTAAAATCGTGACCATTGGCTATTGTTTGACAGATAAATAAATAAATAAATAAATAAATAAATAAATAAATAATTTTCATTGTTGATAGGCTGATAATTTGTATTAACGTTGTTAAAGACGACATTTTACATTAATCAGACACACAAATGCAAGAAAACAGGGCTTGGAATTGCACAGAGAATATCATGAGACTTTAGTGGTGGACAAACTGACTACCTGTCCATATAAACCCACAAATCTAATAAACAAGATAGAGGTGCCAGTAATGATGATCTGGAAGAACTAGCGTGAACACCAGGAGATTCTGTGTCGAGGTCAAAAAGTGTATCAGGTATTAAAATGAGGAACAGTTATGTACGTTCCAATATTAAATCAATCTGTTACGAGACGGCAGGCAGGCGGACCCAAGTGCAAAGAGGAAAACCTGTGAGAAAGGGTGTTAAATAAATTTGAGGCAATATTATGAGTATGAATTTGGCACATTGGAGTTGAGCTTACCCAGAGCCAGGCTCGAACCACTGATGTGCTGATGGGGGGTCCACGGAGTTACCGCTGCGACACCGGGAAGCACAGGTGACAATGGGAAAAATACCTCAGAGAACGGGAAATAAAAAGGTGGGAAAAAGGGCAAACAAAGGAAACGCTGGAAGTAGCTCAAACAAAGGCTGAACTAGAAATGTGAAATAAAAGTTAATGAGAAAACAAAAGCTACTTCCTCTGTAATTATGAGGGGAAGGCAGACTTTATGTTTCACTTGTTTGCTGTTAGTGGAGCAAACACCTTTTGTATGGCTTGGAGCCGTTTGTAGCTCAAGGCTTCTTGAGTTATTTATTTTTTTTAAGTAGTTTTGGGGCAGTTACTCTCTCTTGCTTTTTCAGCCCTCTTTCCTTTTCTTTTCATTTAAATACGCACCTGGGCTGTGTACCATACTGGTCACCCCTCTACAAAGGTGTGACAAAGGGCTGCTGTTTGCCACAGCCTTAAGTAGAGGAGTCCACAGGTGTGTCAGGTTGGGCCTAATCAGCCCGAGGGCTTCTGGGAATTGGAGTTCCCTGAAGTTATGGCACCTCACCGCCATCACCCTCTGCATAGGCTGGACCCTTCCACAAATCACTGTTAAATTAATGATAAAATTAGCAGCCCTAAAAGTTTTAGCAAGTTTTAACAACCATTAATTCATTAAAACTGGATCTTAAAACACAATTGTTCAAATCTGAAAATACCTAAACCAGTGGATTGGAAAATGGGCCGAAACGAACCCCAACCCCATCCTGGGAGTAAAAGTCAGGACCAAATGCCATTGTGGCACAGATTTAGATAATCTAGGTAAATATTTTTATTCTCTTCTAAAGTATGTGCATGAAACAAAGCATATGTTGACCATGCCTCAAGTTTAGCCTACAGTCCATTCAAATCAAAAGCATTTAGAATGTGAAAGCAGCCAGGAAACTCCGCATTTAATAAAAAACTGATGGTTCACTTTTTCCATTTCATCCAGCCTTGGCGGCACTTGTTTGGATATCTAGTATACTCTATGTAATCAATACTTTTTGAGGATTCACATGTTTGTCGAAAATTTCAGTCAGTGCGTTCAGTTTAAAATGTCCATGATTAATTAGTATGTAAGTCAGTGCAACTCAAGTGAAAGACAGTGACCAATACTGAGCTAACTAGCCTGCTAATCTCAGCCAACATTGCGAGCTAGCTAGCATCTAAATTATAAACAGACAGAAAAGACAGAGTAGAATTTTGATAACAGTGATTGTTTTGGCTCTTTGTAGTCTCTGCCTTGTTGAAAAAGCTTGTTTGGATTCTTATGTCGCTAGTTAATGGCAGTTTCAAAGTGTCATTAAATTTTAAGAGACATTTTTGCATGTGGTGCTGTTACATTTTTAGAAAATTTCTTTTAGTTAATGAACCAGTTCAGTGATGTTTTTAAACATCCAAAAAGTCCAGATTGTGTTCCTTTTCCTGATATCGATGGAATTGTTCTTGCTCTCTGAAGAAATGGTATTATCTTTGTTAATGAAAAAAATTGTTTGCAATTAAACCGTTTTGTGTGAATACTTGGTTAATAATTGAGAATTAATAATAAGATCTGTAATGAAAAAGCCTAGGCTGTATAGAGACCTTGACTAAATGCACATGCAGAATTGGAGTGTTTTTGTTTTCTAGGAAGAAAGATTCAGGCCTTCAGCTTCTGTAACACCCTAGTATATTTTAAGCAGGAAATTCATAACATTAAAGCATTTATTGGCATTTTAGAACATATTTATGCCAAAAGATGAGAAGTAAAACCTAGCCCACAGTAAAACCTGGCCTTTTCCACTCCTGACTTACACTAAGCAAAAATCACCACCATGTCTACGTTACACTGCAAAACTCTACACACAGTTCTCCCACATTAGGCACAACATTCAAAAAGAAAAAAAGAAAATGTGTATCCTTGCAAAGCACTGTCATTCCAAACTATAAACTTATGTACCAATCAGCCAGGAAAGGAAGGGAAAGAATATTAACTGGAAATGAAGTGGAGCAGCAGACAGTGTCTTAGTGATTCCTCTTTATTACAAAAAACAGAAACAAATTTGAAATGTCAATTTTGTTCATTAAACAGTTTGTGTTCCAGCTAACAATCAATATAGCTACATGTAATGCCAATGCTAGCTAATCAGTAAAACTTCAGTGAACGAAAATCTAACTAAATAATATATTTGTGGTAATATGCTAAAAGGGGCCTTTTGCTCCATGTCTCAGGGGCTTCTTCTCCCATGTTATCATATGTCTTGACCGGATATTTTAACAATGAGATGACATTGACACCAGTTGCAGTGGATGTTCATAAAGTGTATGTGTAGAAACAAACTGTCTCTAGAAACAAACTGTCTAATTTTACACTTAAACTTAATTTCTCAGTTGCATCAAGCTCACCTGTAAAAAATCTTGGTGTCGTGATAGACCCTGATCTGTCCTTCGACACACATATAACTAATATTACTAGAACAGCCTTCCTGCATCTTCACAATACTGCTAAATTGAGAAATGCATTCTCTCTACAGGATGCAGAAAAGTTAGTTCATGCATTTATTACTTCAAGGCTAGATTACTGTAATGCCCTGCTGGCTGGATGTCCCAGCAAAAGCCTTAACAAGCTTTAGCCAATCCAGAACTCTGCAGCCAGAGTTCTTACTAGAACCAGAAAATTTGACCATATCAGCTCAGTTTTATCAACCTTACACTGGTTACCAGTTAAATTTCACATTGATTATAAAATTCTCTTACTGACTAAAGCTCTAAACGGACTCGCCCCTCCTGAGTGAACTTCTCTCCCACTATGAACCATCACGCCTACTTAGATCACAAGGTGCTGGCTTACTATTAGTACCTAGAATTAATAAAGTTATGTCAGGGGGGAGAGCTTTCTCATACAAAGCCCCCCAGCTTTGGAATAGTCTTCCTGTTAATGTTCGGGACTCAGACACAGCCTCAGTGTTTAAGTCTAGGCTAAAAACTTACTTGTATAGTCAAGCCTTTGGTAATTAGTTTTCCCTGTCAGTTCTAAACCTGCCAGAGTCTCTGCTGCTCTGCTAACACTGTAATCTGTGATCAGTCACCCATTACAGAACTGACACCCAGTACAGAACTGACTCTGTGTTTTTCCTTTCTTTCTTTCTTTGCCGAGTTGAACTGCTGCCCATCCTGTGCGTCTGATGCTGCTGCCTCTTCTGCCTTGATCGGGTGCCACTGCTCGCCAACCCTCTGGACCGGCTTGACCACCATTGAGCTTCATGCTGTACATTGCCGTGCAACCTCACCCTCACAACCTGACCCCACTGATGCTGCTGCTGCATAAACTAAACTAATTAAATTAATCATTGCTCCACCTGTTTTCCCCGTTTTTGTACTAACAATGTTTACTTTCCGGTGTCGACCAGAGGAGGATGGGTTCCCCTTCTGAGTCTTGGCTCCTCTCAAGGTTTCTTCCTGTCTCTTAGAGAGCTTTTCCTTGCCACTGTCGCCACTGGCGACGCTCATGGGGGTTTGGACCCGGATTTCTTTTTGTAATGCTGATTTTGTTTTGTTTTGTAAAGCTGCTTTGTGACAACACCTGTTGTAAAAAGCGCTATATAAATTAACTTTGCTTGCTTGCTTGCTTGCTTGCTTGCATGTGTGCATGCCTGGTGAGGTTGTCTCCACGGGGAGTTTTCTGTTGAGAAAACATTCACATTGCCATGGTCTATTATTTTGAAAATGTATGGCATAATCCTTATTTATGTGCTCTTTCATACAGAGCTGTTAGGAACTTGGAGATGGCTCTGGAACGCTCTGATTTTTCAGAGTCAGAATCACTGAAAGAAGGAAATCTTACTGCATACCTACACAAAGCAGATAAATCCTCCGGAAATCTTAGCATTTATGCCAGCGACAACCAGGTAAGATGGTCTGCATTATTAAATATATAAATATTTGCATGTTTTATACTATTACGATTTAGGCAATTTGCAAATGATCCATTTTTAACATGTCATTGTGTTATTGTAATTTTCCTAGAGAACTAGGTTTGAGTGTAAGACAGCATTAAGCATATATTAAATCTACCTTGCAAGTGCAGCCCCAAACTAGGCGTACACTACACGCCTTTTAAAGTTCTAACAGATGTCTGAAACAGACAGAATCATAAACTTAATGTCAGTATTTTACAGATTTCTTTTCTTTTTGTTGTGAGGGTGTGCACAGTAGACAATAAGGCAAAAGAAGGCATCACACATACGTTTTGGGTATGAATAAGAACTTTAAACCCCCAAATCTCACCGTTATCACTTTCTACAAACAAGGCTAAACTGGGTCGGATCTATTTGTGCTTTTAGGCATAATCAAGAAGCATAGCTCAAACTGGGGATAAATATGGGGTTGAAAAACGCAGATATCACAGTGAGAACTGGAGAAATATTTCACTACTGTTATGGCAGGGATGCAGACCCAAGTGCAGAGAGGAAAACCCATGAGAAAGGGTCTTAATTTATTGAGGTGCTGGAGTGTGAATTGGGTGATTGTGCACATTGGGGTTGAGGTGCCTGAGATCCAGGCTCGAACCGCCGATGTACTGAAACACCTCAATGAATGGGAAAAATGGCTGGAAAAGGCAAACAAAGGGGACGCTGAAAGCAGCGTGCTCAAACAAAGGCTGAGACAGAAAAGTGAAATAAAAGAATCAGAAAACAAAGACACTTCTTCTGTGATTCTGAGAGGAAGGTCAGCTTTATGTTTTGCCTGTTTGCTCTTTGTGGAGCAAACACTTTTTGTATGGCTTGTTTAAGCCTTTTCTTGTTTAAGCCTTCTCTTTGGCTTTTAAGTAGTGTTGGGGCGATTTCTCTCTTTTGTTTTCCCAGCACTCTTTTCTTTTCTTTTCATTTAAACACCCACCTGGGCTGCGTACCGTACCAGTCACACAAAGGTGTGACAAAGGGCTGCTGTTTGCCACAGCCTTAAGTAGAGGAGTCCACAGGTGTGCCAGGTTAGGCCTAATCAGCCCAAGGGCTTCTGGGAATTGGAGTTCTCTGAAGTTGTGGCACCTTGCCGCCGTCTACCTCTGCTGGCAGCACAGACTGGGCCTTTACAACTACAAACTGGCAGCTGACTTGAAATTCTAAAGAAAATGTTTGTGTTCAACAAGCAGCTCCTCTGTCTCTGCGGTCAGCTACATACTCGTCTTTCTTCTAAGTCTCTTTTTGGCTGTTGCCTGAACCACTCCTTCAGTTAAATATCAGTAGGCCTCCAATCCAGCTTGAATGGAAGGCTATGGACTGGACTGTCAATTGCTTCTGACTGAGCTTCTGACCTAAAAAATCACTTGAGATTATAAAAGTTTGTAGGAAGGGGCAAATTGGGGTTAAAATCTGGCTAAAAAATCTGCAGGGTATGCCAAGCTTTGGAGCAAAGAGAAAATCTTGAGTCTGTTTTAATTCAAATTCAAATTACAACTCATCAAATTACAAATATGAATTACAAATTCATTTTCTCATTTAAATCCCAATTTATGCTAATAAATAAAGCATAAATAAACAAATAAGCGAACAAATTACACAATCAACCAAAACCTGGGCCTGTGCTTAATGACTGCCAAAGCAGTAGCAACACATGTCAGCCAGTACAAATTCTGAAATGATGCATCTTGCCTGGAACGACATGCACACCTGTGCGGTCACTTTGCGTTTGTCTTGTTTGTCTTTGTTTTTTTGTTTGTGCCTCTTCTGGAACAGCACCTGGTGTTTTTGTAACATTTATTTAGATAAATAGCTTAACTAGTCTTGTTGCCGCATGACTCATTCATGTTCTTTGGACTGCGAACCCTTCTTTTCCCAATTTGTTTCCCAAAGCAATCATAGCATTAAGAGTTTTCTCAAGGCAGCCAAATATTAGCCAAACAAAAATTTGAAATTAAATCTCCAGCAAGGTTGTAGCCAGGCATTATCCTTGTTTCTTACAAAAATTTGGTTTAGCAAGTCATTAGCACCCCTTACTGCTGTTTGTTATTTGGTACTGCTGTTATTTATGCAGTGTCATGCTTTTTATCAGTGCTTCATTGGTGGGATTTCTAGCACTGTGGAAATGTGTACATGACGGGTCGAGCTAATGTTGCAAACCTTGATAAGTACTTAGTACTGCACTAGAGAGGGCGCCCAAGTGCCTGCAGAACCCAAGCCACTAGCTCTGTTCCCAGGACGAAGCTGAACTGAGCCTCATTGACCCAGGTCTTGCCATAATAAGGCCATAATAAAAAAATATAAATGCCAAACCAAGAGGTCACTTGTACAGTCTCAGGGCAATGGGTCAGGGGCACAAGCCCTCTCAGGAGCCAGGTCAGCAAATAACTAATTTTAGGCAGCCTATAAGAGTCATTGGCTAAGGTGCTAGATTTACTATCCTCTGATACATGATTAGATTGCCTCTCTGCACTATTGAAGAATTCAGTGTAAAACTGCAGTAACTTACTAGCTAATTATACTAGTCTCCAGTATAATTTACTGTTTATTTACAGTGCTCATATTGTATTATACAATTACTATGCTTTACTGTTCAATATTGTGCTCATATGTGCTCTAATATGCACCCCAAATATGTCTGCGGACATCAGCTACATTATGAAGTACAACATGTAAAAATACTATCTAGCTTCTCATGTGAAATGAACTGTACACACACACAATAAAAGCACATTAACAAAAATTAACAAAACCACAAGGAATGCTGGGAAGTTCCACCCCCATCATTACAATAGTCAGAGATAAATAGTGTTTCCACTGTAAATGTACAGCAATTTTTTACAGTGTGGATAAAAGTACACGCCATGTATTACATTAAATTACACTTCATTCACTTTTAGGCTTCCCTTTCTTCCTTTGAGCTCCCCAAAAGGTCTGTGCGCGGGCCTGTTCCCCATAGACGACATTTGAATGGTAGCCAGTAGATCTGTGGAACTTTAACAGGTGTTAGGTCATGTGCTATATGTGCTATACTATTGCTCTCTTCCAAATAACATATGAAAATGCTTGATAACATCTGAAAATGAATGATGAGCATTCAAATGACTGTGGTTTAGTAGCTGCAAAACTTCATAATATTAAAAACTTATACATGAAACAAACGTATCTCTAAATGCTAAAAGAAATGATAAATATAGACGTGGATGCCGTCTTTGAGATCTAATTTTTGATAAGCAGAGGTGCAAAGTTTGAACTTCTAGCTGATCATTTTGCTTGCAGCAGAGCTGTGTTCTGTTAATAATGGTTTATAAAGTTGTTGTTTACATCCTGCTTTTGCACAACAGGCGAACACAAATGCCTCACGGGTGTCGAACATCATAGTGCAGGTCACCCTACCAGAGGAGCTAGCAATAATTGAGAACACAACGGTGGTCTTCTGCATGATAATCTCACCCAAGCAATATGTGGTAAAACTTCATAATTCCCTCTTTATCATACCTTTTATAAAAAAAGAAATAAAGAACAAAACATTATTTTTTGTAGAATTTTTTAGGACATACAGTCCTATGCAAAAGTTTGAACACCCCCTGATCAGATTATATGTTTTGTTTTGTTAATTGTGAAAATAAGTTATCATATCTTCTACAGGGAACAAACTTGTTTGTGCAAATTGTAATGCACAATTACTTTTGATATGCTGAGTTGAACATATTGGAAAAAAATAAACCAAAATATAAACATATACATATATATAAATGTAAAAGTAATATAACTTCTACACAGGCCACATTTTATGTTTCCCAATATGCTTAATTCAGCAAATAAACAGTAATTGTGCATTAGAATGTGTGAAGTATGTGCTTTGTAGAGGATTTGTTCTTATTTTCGCCTAGAAAAAAAAAACAAACAAAAAAAAACACACAAAACAATTTCATAAGGAGCATCTAACACAATTGAAAGTGATTTTGTTGGTTTGGAGTGATATTATATTTCCTGTTCAGCCTCCGATTTGAAAACAAATCAGCTTTACCTACATATTCTAGTTGTTTATTAATTCCATAGAATAATTACATATAATTCTTTGATTATGGTTTACATATATATCCAACAAAGCATAAAAAATTTGCCAAATGGCTCCTCAATTGTTTGTAAGGCAGTTTTGAGTCACTGTATTGTAGTTATTTTTTTTCCAATATTTATAATTACCTACACTGTTAGAAATAAAGGTTCTGTGCAGGTACATTTTTCATTTGTCAAGGTACAAACAATGTAAATGTATCCCCAAAAGGTACAACAGTGGGTTTAAGGTCTGATTGTGAACCTTAAATAAGTTTTTCCAGGTGAAAAGTTTGTATTTGTACCTTTTCATAACCAAATGTTTTAAAACACAACAATAAAATAAAAAGCCTGGAGACGAGACGGGGTGTGTGGAGTCAGTACAGCTTAGAACATATCATTTCAGTGGATTATGGTTCAGTTATGTTCCCTGACTAAAGGTACTGAGATGTACCCTTGAGAGTCCCACCCCAGTGACAAGAGGGGAACTGCCCCAGTGACAGTTTCATACCTTTATTTCTGAGAGTGTAAAGGAGAAGAATTGGAAATCTAAAGTGTGACTGTGGTATAAAACACACTTGCCTTGAAATGTCCAGAAATGCTGCCTTTTGCTTTGGTTCATATTCATCGTTTCATTTGTCATAAGCCTCTGTTTTTGTTGCTTGTAATAGCCTAAGTTGTCTTCTCTTGTTTTGCCTACGATCTCAGAATGTGACAGATGGCCGAATTATTGGTGTGAGCGTCGGTGGAAAGAATGTCTCAGGTCTGAGGACTCCTGTGATTATGTCTGTGCATGTGGGACCACTTGTAAGTACATTTTACCTCCAGTAATACAACACACTCATTTATTAGCTCAAACTCATGAAGTCTTTCACTGCTCTACCATTTCATAACAATTTCAAATAATTTTCCTTACAGGCAACCAGAAAGCCAAAGTGTGTATTTTACAACTTCACATCCTCTAGTAAGTCGATTCACTGAGAGAACTACATGTATGAATACACTCAAAAAATGATTTATGGCCATCATAAATATTAAGCAAACATTTTACATAAAACTTATTTTAAAAACATAAAAATATACTTTACTTATTTCTATTCTTTAGAAGCAACCCAATTTGGATAAATCCAAAACTGATTTAATTGAATTGTGTAAGACGCATTAGATTCTTCCACTAAATCTTATTAGGAGGCCGTGCACATGTGCAACAGTAACAGGAGACGCATCAACCCCCAGAAAACTGCTTCAGCTGGCACGGTGGACATAAAACGGCCCTTTTTATTTTTACAATCTCCTGCCATCCTTTGTTATACAGTGCAACTGCAATGAAATAGTGATGCACATTAACTTCATTTGTCTTTTTAATGTTTTTGACCATATATTAATGTTTCATTTTGCTTATTTTAAGTGATTTTGAGAGCATCCTTGCTGGGTCTGCTGTCATGTTAACGGGTACAAAAGGTAGATTAAATAAACAGTGGGATGATTTATTGTGAAGCATTCAAATCAGCAGTTCATGGTTTTTGTAACTGTAGGTGACCGACATATTAGCTTGGCATGAAGTGACTGATAGCATTAGCTAGCTAACTTACATTCAGGTTTATTGAACACAATGGAGAAACATTAATTATAATACCATTTTTTACATTGGATTTATGTATTTAAATTGAATGGAAAATTGACGTAATTAAAATACATAAGTTTTAACTTTTGGGCTTAAATATTTGTTTGAGTGTATAATTCAGTTTCATTTCTAAAGACAAGCAGACACAAGGATTTCAAGTGCAACATCACAGTCAAGGCTTAAAAACAGTCACTAGTGTTTGTAGTTACAATACATGCTAGTAAACTGTACATACAGACATACATTACAAGCAAGCATGTTACACTATGTACTCGAGAAGGTGCAGCACGAAATGAGCTGTCCATGATAGATTTACTTGAAGACACTTGAATGACATGAGGTTGAAAAATATATCTGACATCATGTTAGCAGGTGTAAAGCCAACTGGAAGGTGGAGCTTCCCAGTATTCATTACAGTTTCTGTTAAATAAATCTTATTTTTCTTAGTTTTTATGGTCATGGTCAAATAAAAGTTCTAATTTAGAACATGAAGACAGCATAAAGATAACTTTATTTGGAGAGAAAAGTTCTAACTTGATTTTATAAACTTTAAAGCAACTGATTAAGACTCTTTAAGAGTGTTTCTTGAGTGTTTCAAGCCTTTTTAGGCCTTTTATTCTAACAAAATTTAAACTTGAAGTTTGTTCAACAAAATTGATTGAAGGAAAAGACTGGATTTGGGTCAATATACTTTCAGTGTTTAAGAAATAAAGCTGATTTGATGTTTTCTTCGAACAGACTTCGAAGGTAGTGGTTGTTCAACAAAGTGGAGTACAGGAGAGGACACGGTTATCTGCTCATGTGATCACCTCACCTACTTTGCGGTATTAATGGTACAGCCCCATTTATTTCAGACACTCTCAGGAATTTCAGTAACTGCACTAATGATAAAAAGGAAATAATGACTAATCAAGCCTATATTATGTTTAGGTATCTCCTGATAATGTTTCTGAGAAAGACAAAGTTGTTCTATCCTACATCAGTCAAGTTGGGTGCAGTTTGTCTTTGCTGTTCCTGGTGGTCGCTGTCATTCTCTACTTTGTGAAATGGTGAGCATATTGTCTCTTCACACAGTGAACCCTACAAGATGTTTAGAATTTAGTTCACACTTTCATAACTTTTAGTTAAAACTACTGTAACATGTTACTGACTAGTTGCCCTGCTGCCTCTCCAAATAGGCTCCAACTGTGGCAGCTTGTGTGTAGGAGAGACTCATCAGCCCCAAACTAAAAGCCATATTAACATTGCAAATACATACTTGAAATCACTGCTAAAGTCTGACAAAAAACAGCATAAATAGTTTGTAAAATGTTAACAATTTCACTGACAATTTCTTTATACAATGGGGAGTCCAGTATAACAATGTTCAGGCTACTATCTGGTTTCAACAGAACTTAGGGCATAGAGCCAAGTTCTGAACTTAGAATCTGAAGTTTTAAAAATTTTAAGGTAGCCCGGGAATCGACTTCAAGTTGAAACACCAGAAAGTTAATACTGCAGTCTAGCCTTTCGCATCTGTGCTGCCATCACCTTTTTACAGCATTATTTCTCTGAAAAATAAGAAAAGACTGTCAGGTTATCATTCATTTCTATGTGTGTGCAAGTATTCTAACTATATGTGTGGGAGGAGAGGAAACACATTTTCAGGCTAGCATATATCTATTATTCCAGGGAGATTCACTTGAAAGAGGCCCCGGATATTCTGCCGTTACGATGAAGCAATCTGAACCAAAAAAATATGCTACATACCTTGACGCATGTGTAATTGATTGCATTCCCTGCAGTGCTGGAAGTGATCTCTGTTTTCCGCCGGACACATGGTGGTACGGGGATATGCACCCGGAAGTTGCAAACGGAGGTTAAACGTTGCAACGGCTGTCCGGCGCCTAGCTCATCGCTCCAACGCAGGGGCATCCCAGCTTGTTCAAAGCTCCATATACTGAGGAGCACATTGCATGTTGTTTGGTTCAGATTGCTTCATCCTAGCGAGAGTTATTACAGGATGCTCGGGGCCTCTTTCAAGTGAATCTCCCTGTATAATTTGTAATTGTGTTATTATTTCACCAACAACGTGGCATGGGTGACTGGCACATCTGTAGGGCACCATTAATACTGAATGATATAAACAGGTTTTGGCAACATATGCTGCCATCCAGACGACGTCTTTTTCAGGAAAGGCCTTGATTATTTCAGCAAGATGACGTAACCACATTCTGCATGTAATACAACAGCATGGCTCCGTATTAAAAGAGTCCGGGTGCTAAACTGGCCTGCCTGTAGTCCAGACCTGTCACCACTGATAACATTTGGCACATTGTGAAACAAGAAATACGTAATCGTGTTGTTATTTCACTAACATTACATTTTCATATTAACCACAATGTCATTTTTCATATTTTTTTTCTGTCTCTAAGGCGTGGCTCAGCAGATCAGTCTCAGCAAGTGCACATTAGCCTGGCTGTGGCTCTCATTCTGTTGAATGGACATTTCATAATGAATGATCTGGTTGTAAATGTACGAACTGCATGTATCTACGTGGCAGTTCTACTCCACTACTCTCTCCTGGCCACTTTCACCTGGACAGCTATCGAAGGCTTCCACCTCTACTTGCTGCTGCTGAGGGTCTTCAACATCTACATCAGGCGATACCTACTCAAACTAAGCCTGGTGGGCTGGGGTAGGTTTAACATCTTCAACTGGTTTGATGGAAAAAAACTTTCATTATTTAGGATTTATATATTTAGATGAAGCTTTGAATCATGACCTCACATATTTACTTTATCCCAAGTATTCCGTTGTTCATATTAAAGTAGTCATATATTTTTTAGGTGTTCCTGCTGTTGTTGTTATTTTGATCTTCATCATTGACAAATATGTGTACCTGAATGTGGGCATATCTTCAGGGAAGAGCAGCAACATCCAAGGGTAAGCTTAAAACAGGTCACCGATTTTAGACATTTTAAACAAGTTTTAAACTCTTCAAAGAAAAAGAACAAGACAACCAGCTATTAGATCTTATATGATGATCCTTATTATCTAACAAAGCCATGTACAGTCAGCTCCATAATTATTGATACCCTTGGTAAAGTAAATTTAGTCTAACAACACAAAACCACATTTGTCACAATTATTGGCACTCTTGCATTTAGTAAGTTGTGAAACCACCCTGCCAACATGAGTCTTGAGTCTTCTGCTATAGTGCTTGATGTGATTGAAGAACTGGAGAACAAGGAAATCGAGGTCACTCTTCAATCTCTCCAGATCCTCCAGGGTCCTAGCTCCTCTCTTTTGGACTGTCCTCTTCCACTCACCTCACAGGTTAGGTCAGCAGACTGTGATGGCCATATCAAAAGTTTGTTTCTGTGGTCACTGAACTGTTTTTTTCATCTGAATTTGGACAGGTGTTTTAGATAATTGTTCTGCTACAAGATTCAGTTTTAACCTTTTGGCAAATGTGGCTAGATTTTCAGTTAAAATCTCCTGGTACTTCATGGAGTAACAAGGTTCCCAGGGCCTTTGGGCAAAAGCAGCCTCAAACCATCATATCCTCCACCATACCTAGCAGTGGGGATGAGATTTTTTTCTTTAGAACCTTTTTTCTTCTTATGCCAAATTCACCTTGAGTGTTTGATTCCAAAAAGCTCTATTTATATGTTCTATGTTCTCTGACCATAGAACCTGATTCCAGGCCAAGTTCCAGCAGTATCTAGTAAAATAACAATGCTTATGTTTGTGGTAAGACAAAAGAAAAGATTTTCCTCCTGCACATTTTCCAAATAGTTGTCATAAAGGTGTTATCTAATTATAGTTTTGGAGACTTGGTAACACCAAAATGCAACATTCTATCTTCTGCAAACCTCCAGCCATGATCCTTGAACAAATCTATTTTTACCTCTCTAGCCATCCACATTGTGCGTGGGAGTAAAATAAACATGCATTCTCTCTCAAACCAGTTCATTACAGCTCTGGTTGTTTCAACCCCTTAAAATCCCAGGCTTATTACATACTAAGGCCAAATCCCATTTCTTCTTTTTACCCTTACCCCTTGTTTTCGAGTGTCACCCTAACCCCTCGTAAATCAGTTCCAAGTGGTTGAAATCTTGCCCTACGAAATGGGACAACCTCAAATTAAAAAAAAACAAAAAAAAAACACATTAATAGGCTATTAGCACTGCTCTGTAGGCGACCCGGCCTGACTTCAGTGATAGCAGAGGAGGGAAAAGTTCAGCTCCTCACTGCTGGGCTTTAGTTACATTTAGGGCATCATATGCCTTCGAAGAGGTGGGCAATTATTTACTATCACCCACCCCTAATTCTTTGGTGATACTAAGCTGAAGTCAGATATTCACCAGCTTCTTGTTTGAATTTTCCCGTTCCACCTTAAATGGAGCAGCAGTTACATTCTGGCACTTCAGGCATCAGAACTGCTGGACTATTTAAGGTGGAACGGGAAAGTTAGCTAGCTAGCATACTAGCCATTTTTATACTTTTTTATGCTAAGAAAATGACCATAATACACTGAAATGACATTAAACTAAGATAATAAAGTGGTTATCGTAATTATCATAGAAAATACTCACATTTGTGGGTTTCTTTGGCCACTTGCTCAGCCATCTTGCCGGTTTTTCTTTTTTTCCTCATAACACTCTGTTTGGAGTGAGTCTCTGAAACCTCTTTGTCTTGTTTATTTATTCCCTAATCTTTCCCCATGTTGATGAATGACGACTGGTATTTGATTTCAGTGACACCTCATACATTTATAACTCTGTGAAACATAAAGGCATGGGAGACCACTTAAATTTTCCTGAATGCTCAGGTGGACTTGGGTAGAGTGAAATATAAATAGGAACATGCTTGAGTTATCTTTTGTTTATAAGAATGCCAATAATTTTGACACATGGTTTGGATATAAAAAAAATGTGGTTTTTAGACTAAATTTACTTCAATTCAAGGTTAGATTTTTATTTTATTTTCAGTGTGATATTTAACCTTTTGACACAGCCTGCATTTTGCATTTTATTTACATTGTGCAGAACAATTGCAATGCTTAACTCTCTGGTGAGACACACGAGTTAAGGACAAATAGATTGTTATACTGCAAAAAATAATGTATGCCAACTTAAAAAGAGTAAGTAAGTTAATTGAACTTCAAATAATTAGCAGGACATAAAACACATTCCTGGTCTGTTGACTTACTATTACAAGTTTAATAAATGCAAATTTAAGACACAAAATTTAAGACACAAAAACATTTTATAGCTTATTTAATGTGTCATTTGAAATTAAAACCACACTTCTTGTACTGACACCATTCTCTAATCTTTTTTCTTTCCCTCCATCACTCCCTCCATGTAGATGCTACATCTCCAATGAAGTTGTGAAAAATGTCACCATTTTGGGCTTCTTCTGTGTGATATTTGCCTTTAACTTGGGCATGTTGGTGGCGGTTGTCCGGACTCTGTTCTTCAAGCGCCCTCTGTACCCGGGTCAACAACAGAAACGTAGAGCCAAAGACATCTGCACAATTCTGGGCATCACCTGTCTACTGGGCATCACCTGGGGTCTGATCTTCTTCTCCTTTGGCCAACTTTCCACTGTTGGCCTCTACTTCTTCTGTATATTTAACTCACTGCAGGGTGAGTAGAAGCAGATCGTCAGTTCTGGGGCCTGGTTGTTGATGAGGTGCATCGCTTTTAGAATGTTAGGTTTAGCAACAATGTTCACACAACAGTATTTAATTTAGTTCAATTTAAGTAACAGACTATACACTACATGGGCAAAAGTATGTGGACATCCCTCCTACTGAGTTCAGGTGTTTGAGTCACACCTATTGCTAACAGGTGTATAAAATCAATCACATAGCCATGCAATCCCCATAGACAAACACTGGCAGTAGGATGGGTCATACTGAAGAGCTCAGTGACTTCAAACATGGCACTGTCATAGGATGCCACTTCTGCCACAAGTCAGTTTGTGTCTGCCATGCTGGTCAGCCGAAGCATGTGGTGTGTAAAAATCAACTATTACCTGTTGCATCACTCACTACAGAGCTCTCAAACTGCCTCTGGAAGCAACATCAACACAAGAGCTTGTCGCGACCAAGAGTTGTCCCTTCTGCCCAGTGTCTAGACATTTATAAGCATCTCTAATATGTTCTATGCGATTGCCCTAATAACTCTGTGTAGTCTAACTTCTTTAACACGAATTAAAGGAATCCAAAAATAACAAAAAGTGAAAAAGGATAAAGAAAAAAAAAAAGACTAAAAAGACTTCAGCCACTGAGTTCCTGTGGAAGGAAGGAAAAGACCTTCTCTTTACTGAGCATCAAGTGGCAAGTTGGTCCCCGGACAACCACAATGCAAATATCATCTTGAGACATCCCTTTTTATTGCCCTTTGAGGTGATGAAGTAATCAACCCACCCCTTTTTACACAATTCCATACCACCTTAGTCCCCATCATATCCAAACCTTACACCTTTTTTGGTAACCCTTAAAACCAAACGCATTTCATGTCCTTTTTTAAAAAAACATTCTGACCCAGTCATACCAGGCTGTTCCATCCTTACAGGGTCGTCTTACACAACTTGTCCACATAAGTTCAGGAGTTCACTTCAGCTATGATTTGTACTGTCATCTGGTACAGTTCCCTTTTGTGAGTTCAAGAGTTCATCCCCTTTAGAGATGAGATTCCAAATGCATGCAGTCTTGCTCCCCAATGTTACTGTTGCCACAAATTTGCTTCTTAGGAGAGCTCCAAATGCTCAGGTTAGCCAATATTTAGTTTGATTATTAAATCAAGGAATGTTTTATTAAATCTTTCCCATCAAGCAGGATGTTGGAGCACCATGAAATGGGTTTCCATGGCCGAGCCCCTGCAGACAAGCTTAAAATCATTATGCGCAATGCCAAACGTTGGCTATAGTGATGTAAAGTACAGTGCCACTAAACTCTGAAGCAGTGGGAACGTGTTCTCTGAAATAACGAATGATGCTTCACTATCTGGCAGTCCTGCCCTGCGATGGACTGGCGACCTGTCCAGGGTGTATCCTGCCTTCCGCCCAATGACAGCTGGGATAGGCTCCAGCACCCCGCCGCAACCCAGAAGGATAAGCGGTTTAGAAGATGTATGTATGTATCTGGCAGTCTGATGAACAAATCTGAGTTTGGCAGATGTCAGGAGAACACTCTCTACTGGAATGCACAGTGCCAACAGTAAAGCTTGGTTGAGGAGGAGAAGGAGGTGAAGCTGGGCTCAGCTCCTTAGTTCCAGTGAAGGGTAATGTTAATGCTACAGCATACAAAGACATTTTAGACAATTATTTGCTTCCAAATTTGTGGCAACAGTTTAGGGAAGGCCCTTACCTGTTCCAGCATGGCTCTGCCCCTGTGCACAAAGCAAGGTCCACAAAGACACGGTTTGATGAGTTTGATGTGGAGGACCTCCAGTGGCCTGCACAGAGCCCTGACCTCAACCCCACTAAACACCTTTAGGATGAACTGGAATGTCGATTGCAGGCCAGGCCTTCTTATCTAACATCAGCCTGATCTCACAAATGCTCTTTTGAATAGGCACAAATTCTCAGACACACTCCAAAATGTTATGAAAGGCCTTCTCAAAGAATGGAGGCTGTTATAGCCACAAAGAGGGGGAATCAACTAAAACAAAACTTACATATGTGTAATGGTTAAGTGTCCACATACTTTTGGCCATAGAGTTTGTGTTGCCTATGTGATCAGAGTTTTTTTGCACTGATTAGCACTGCCTATGGTAAGCATCAGTAGCCATGTCTGGCATATTTTAAATTGTTCTCTACATAGAAGATGTCTACATAGAAGGTATCTGACTTTGGCCATGGTGAAAAAATGTCCAGATGTGGTTTTACACGCCCATTTACAACCCTGGGGTTTGGCCCTAGAACGAAACAAGCTGTTTTCTGGGCTAATGATTAAATCTGCTCCGATTTGCTGGTTTACAGCGAGGCACTGCAATGGTTCACACGTAAGCAACATGTTGAAATGGACACAGACAGGGAAATAAAATGAACCTCCATGTAAAAAAGCTAGGTCATACTATTTAGGTAGTTATGCTGGTAACTTGGAGCTTGCTAGTGGCTAACGTTACCTATGCTAGCTACTTGCTTTCGATATTTACAACAGCACAAAGTACGTTAAAGTTGTTAGCTCACTATGAAGCCTTCGATTCAAGATAATCTGACTTCAACTGTCAAAACGTGGATAAAAATCATAGCTGCTACTTGCAGGTTGCTGTTGGGGTTGTGATGCTAATAAAGTAAACCCTGCTTGATATTGGTCAAGGTTTGAAAAACCAAGCGAAATCTACAGAGCAGGCTTAACAACTATGAATTAAAGTTGTCCTGAAGTTGGCTTCCTTTTTTCTGTTCCACCTTAAACGGTGCTGCAGTTACATTCTGGCACCTGTACAAGCTGTAGCATTTAAGGCGGAACGAAACATTCAGTCAAGAAGCTGGTGAATAGGAGGCCTTGTTTAAAGCTTTGTTTAAAGATGAACATCAGCCATGCCTGTTGACAGTTTAGTTCCTTGGCAAAGGTATGAAAAGTGCTGACATCCCTTCACAGCCTGGAACAGTACAGTTTCTGTAAATAGTCTGCCATTTCCATTGCTGTTGCTCCACTGATGGTGTGGTGTCCTGCTGGGCTAGAACGTAGGATAGTATGTACACATTTTGGGGGCATAAATATTAATGACTCAAGACTTATGTAAAAGTTTAGAATTTTGGATTTGTCCCATTTTACTGCCCTTTTTTGCAAATGCAGGTTTTTATTTGGAGGAGGAGGCAATAGTGTTTGAGGTTCACAGCATGTCAGTTCCACGTCCTGAACTCTCCTTATTCAACTATGTCAACATAAATACAGTTTTTTATTCTATGGCAACTTCAAGTAAAGAACTGGGCTCCTTTCACCACTCTCTGTAGTGCCTTGTGGTCAGCAAAGGCGAGGGGCAGTGAAGTTGGCATGTAGCATTAGGAATGTAATATCATCATCAAGTATACATGCCATAAAACATTTCTAAGACGAGAAAAGTACTGTTCTTCGAAGGGATTTTTGATGGATCTTAACCATTTTTCATTTGTCTTTTCAGGATTATTCATCTTCATTTGGTTGTGCATGTCCAAATCAGCATCTAGTGAGAGCCAAGAGAATGTGGACACACACACAAGCAATACCTGAACTCCACCGCAACTCTGCGGCCAACTACTGGGTCATTTAGGGCATACTTTTAAAGATCATATATAAATACACACAGGTTCTCAGTTTATGAACTCTAACACTCATCCCATACAGATACAGAAATTCCATCTAAACATGGCCAGAACAGCTCAATACACTAACCACTACACTGCCCTACTGCTGCCATCGATGCATGTAACTTTATTTTATGTATTATAATTATGAGACAATGTTGTATTCAAGCCTATTGCATTGTTTTATTTAAATATATTGCTGGCTGTACAGACACGAAATTACACACCTTTGCATTGGATGTCGACTGATACTTCAAGAAATATGGATCTGCCTGAGCCAAGAAAACGGCATGGTTTGCAATAAAATGCACAAATCAAAATCCACATGTAGAAGTTTTCATATTTTAAGACTTAGTCACATCACAGCTCAAAACTATAACAGCTAAAAACCCATAACTGGTGTTCAAAAACATCCAACCAAATATTGCAGAAACAGCACATTTACCACTAGAGGGCACTGTGGGTGTATTTAAAAGTTGAGCACCTGAACAGGGGCTAAACAACAAAAAGGTGAATGTTCCACAATGGCCAAATCAAAGACCTCAAATCGAGAATCTGTGGCACTATTTGAAAATTGCGGTCCAGGAGTATCGTCTGACCAACCTGAACAACCTGGAGTAAATCTGCCAGTAAGAATGAGCAAAAATGACTCCCAAAACAGTGAGCTGGTAGAAACATACCCCAACAGATTTAAAGCTGTTACTTCAGCAAGAGGTGGCTCTACCAAGTAGTAGTCTGAAGGGGTTGAATGTTTACGCGAACAGCATTTTTCAGTTTCTAAAGGTCTGCTGAGAAATCATGAACTTTGAAAATTACTTTAAGAGCATATTAGTTTGCAACAATAAAGTCAAATAAGTCATTTATAACTGAGACAAATCTGATTACTTTTAAGGGGGGTTGAATACTGTTGTTTCAGAACATGCTTTGGTTCCCATGATGCTTTGCTCATGCTTAGCCAGGCTGTATTTAGTTCTAAAAACAGGCTAATGTTATGCAAAATTTTGAGCAGGTTGGGTAGGTTGTGTTTTGGGAATGGATTACCATCACCCTGGTTTTTGTCCTTATCCATAACCCTCAGCAGGAGTCACACCAGGCTGTGGCCGTACTGTAGATTTAGAGAAGCATATTTGTTTTCTCTGGAAACTGGAGCTGTGTGTCTGTACTCTGACTGCTGAGTCAGCTCCAAATGATGTTATAAAATGGGCATGAACTTTGAGTTGTCTGAGGAGAATATATGAAAGAGTCCTGAATGTCTCCTCCAGGTGGTGCTGTTCAATTATGCAATTATATTGGAAGGAGCCCCATGTGGCCAGTCACTGATCGGTCACTTTATGAAGTACACCTACCTTGTACAGTCATTGTCCATTTTATCAGCTCCACTTACCATATAGGAGCACTTTGTAGTTCTACAATTACAGACTGTAGTCCATCTGTTTCTCTGCATACTTTGTTAGCCCCCTTTTACCCTGTCCTTGACGTGGTGGTGGTGTGTTGGTGTGTGTTGCGCTAATACGAGTGGATCAGACACAGCAGTGCTGTTGGAGTTTTAGCAAATATTACTAAAACCTACTGCAATATTTAGAACGACTGCTACGAATGCGAAGTCTATTTTGCTGACATTTCTGAATGACAAGTAACTTTAGTGCATTAACATTAACAAAGTGTAATTTAAAAACAAAACATGGTTTGCTGCAGAAATTATGGTATTTTTAACTTAAAAATCTGTACATGTAATCAGTTCGGATGGCAAAGTTCTTCTTTTTCTTGATTTTGAGAATAAGATTCTCTGGAGGAGCCATACATGAGCCTAAGGTCATCATGCCCAGTGCCAAACAGCAGCTTAAAAGGGTAGAAAGCTTCCCAGCATTGGGCCTTGGAGCAGCGGAACTGTGGAACTAATCATTTAATCTCAATACCATCTGAATACATATCTGAATACAATCAAATCCTCACAGTAATGTTCCAACATCTAGTTTAAGTCCTTCCAGAAGAGTAGAGCGCTTTCCAAAGTTGAGTATTCTCAAAATATCCAACATAGATTCTTAGAATAGGTTTATTTTCGAGCATGATATTGATGGACACTATATCAGTAGGAAAGAGCAGCTGCTCATGGCTGGAATTTTTAGCAGATGCTTAGTTGAGCATCTTTACAGTGGCTTCAAAAATAAACTAAAACGTTCATGTCAAGACATTTGTTTGTTTATATGTGGTGGTAGTTCAAAAGTAGCCCACAAAGCCACTGCTTGACAGGACATACACTGACATAGCATCATCACTTCTCATGAAAAAAGGAGCGGTATGTTTTTGCATCATATTTTGTAGGATAACATGCAAATTTAATTTGATTTTAAATTGAGTGCAAAACCAGTTAAGCTATTCTAAAATTAAACTCTGAACCTTTGAACTTCACTATTAAAAAAAAGTTAACAATTATTTCCACAAGTTGAAATTTAGGGGGTACGGATTGGGAAAGACACCTCCCAATAGAAAGTACCCTATAAATGATGATTTAATATATATTTAGCTTATTGCTGCCTAGGATTCAAATAAATCATAACATAATCCTTGTAAATATCTAACATCTGAATGCTTAATTGTTTTTTTTTACTTTTGGACCACAGTTTGGACTAATTTAGTAGAATGGTCCATATAATAGGCTGTATTGTATGTTTGACAAGGTGGAAAACAAAGTAAAATGTATAATTTAGAACAAAAAGTGGCTTATAATTAATATTCATGAATATCCACGCGTCATTTTTTCACAGCAGCAGCCACACACACACACACACACACACAGGGCAGATTTTGCCTCTGCTTCTGGGCTGTCTGCCTTCAGAATCATATACAAAGCATGCTCTATCAACATGAAACCTGAATTTAGCACTGGAAAAACAAAAACGTAGAAATATTCATCTTTAGTGCTATAATCAACAAAATTCCCAGTAATGAATCAGCTTCTGTTCACACATAAACCCTTTGCAAGGCCTCAATCTTACTGCCATTTCAACTCCAGCATGTATTCACTCTTAGTCCCTTTGCATTTCCATTAAATTTCCACATAAAGGTTTATGTGAATGAAAGGGGCTCATGTCATGACTTTTGGAATTGGAAGTCAACTCAAGAATTTCTGGACCTGAACAGCTCTACTGAACACTGAGCACAGGAGCACAACTCAGTATCACATTATCAAGACATCAAAAACTGAAACTGGCAAAACAAGATCTGCCCTGCAAACACATTTATGTTGTCAAAACATTGAAATCTAATTTCACAGGAATTTATGACAACGTTATCTGACAACATTGTGACAACAAAGGGGCAATGTAGTCATTACATTGGCACAACCTCCTAGAATCCTCTGTTAGAATCTCCTAGAATCTGTTATGTTGTGAGTGGAACTCCATGGAATTTTGCTCAGTTGCTAACAGGTGGTCATAACACCGTATGGCAACGTTACTGAATAATGAGGTTGTGACAACGTTGTGACAACCTTGTTCAGACAACGTAAACAGCACCACCTTTTGACAACGTGTTACGGGACGGCAGGCAGGTGGACCCAAGTGCAAAGATCAAAACCTGTGAAAAAGGGTGTTAAATAAACTTATTGAAGCAATGGAGTGGGAATTTGGCACATTGGGGTTGAGCTGACCCAGAGCCAGGCTCGAACCACTGATGTGCTGATCGGCGGTCCATAGAGTTACCGCTGTACCACCGGGAAGCACAGGTGACAATGGGGAAAACATCTCAGGGAACGGGAAATAAAAAGGCGGGAAAAGAGCAAACAAAGGAAACGCTGGAAGCAACTCAAACAAAGGCTGAACTAGAAATGTGAAAGAAAAGTTAATGAGAAAACAGAAGCTACTTCCTCTGTAATTATGAGGGGAAGGCAGACTTTAGGTTTCACTTGTTTGCTGTTAGTGGAGCAAACACCTTTTGTATGGCTTGGAGCCGTTTGTAGCTCAAGGCTTCTTGAGTTATTTTTTTTTTTTAAGTAGTTTTGGGGCAGTTACTCTCTCTTGCTTTTTCAGCCCTCTTTCCTTTTCTTTTCGTTTTTCTTTTCTTTTTGTTTAAATACCCACCTGGGCTGTGTACCATACCGGTCACCCCTCTACAAAGGTGTGACAAAGGGCTGCTGTTTGCCACAGCCTTAAGTAGAGGAGTCCACAGGTGTGTCAGGTGGGCCTAATCAGCCCGAGGGCTTCTGGGAATTGGAGTTCCCTGAAGTTATGGCACTTCGCCTCTGCTGGCGGCCGGTGGCGCAGGCTAGGCACCTTGCCGGCATCGCCCTCTGCTGGCCAGCGGCACAGACTGGACCCTTACACAACATTGTAAGAAAGTAGACAACATCGGGACACTGAGTGCATTTACATGCACTTCATAATCTGATAACTGCGGAAAATCAGATTTTGTCAGTAATCCGATCAACATATTTACATGCGCTTGAATAATCAGATAATAGGAAACTCCGGGTCTGCATGAGTCAGACAGTGATGGATTTCTGCTTTACAACCAGCCAATAAACTCACAGACGAAGACGTGACGTAAACGTAACTTCATGCCACGGCTTTTTTTAAAACATCGCACCACTTTACCTGAAAATATGAACATACATCATCTAGAAGTTGAAGAATATTTAAATATGTCATTTTGTGTTTGGTTTCAGTGCTTCTCCAAAAGTGTTTCGCAGCCATCTCGCGGTAACGCTGCTTCTTCTTATCGGGTACCGCCGTCATTCTCGCTCTTGCGCAGACTGAGAAATCTGAAAGAAATCAGAGTAAGAGTTTACCTGCACTGAGAAATCTGACTACTGAGCTAAAATCCAGCCTCTTTATCAGATTTCTTAATCGGATTTCTAGATCAGAGTATGGTGTGTACATGACCATTTGAGTAATCGGATCAGAGTGTGTTTGCTGGGTACCTACAGTTGTATGCAAAGGGTTGGGCACCTCTGGTCAAATGATGTTTTGTTAATTTTCCAAGCAAAAATAAGTTAACACCTCCTCTACAGACAACATCTTAATGTACAATTACAGTTCATTTTCTGAATTTAACAAATTGAGAAAAAACATAAAGCATAAAATGGGGCCTGTGTGTGAAGCTTATGGCACATTTATTTTATCTTCTTTTTTTCCAATATGTCAAAATCAAATGAAACAGAAATTGTGCACTAAAATTTGCAGAAAAATGCTGTACTTAACCCTTGAGTGGTGTTGGGGTCTGTGGGTTTTTTAATGTTTACCAAAAGACAAAATTATGTGATTTATTTAACACATTTTCAGTGTCTTCAAACTGTTCACCCCCCACACATTTATATTACACATGTGGTGTTGGGCTGAACCCGCAGGAATAAAAGTGTGGAGGTGCTGTGTCCTTCACTCTGTTTTCCTCCTACATGGCCTGCTGTTAGTGTGTGTGTGTGTCTGTGTATGTATGTGTTTGTATATGTGTGTGTGTGTGTGTAGGTGTGTGTGTGTGTGTGTGTGTGTGTGTGTGTGTGTGTGTGTGTGTGTGTTGTGTGTGTGTGTGTGTGTGTGTTGTGTGTGTGTGTGAGGGTGGACAACATGGACAAGCTGCTGACTGGCTACAGCTGCTAAAGGAGAACCCTACGCTGGACACTTGTGATATTTTAAACATCTGGTATTTTGTTATGGCTGTATGATTTAAAAAAACAATAATGTGGTGGGTCCACCAGACCACTGAGTAACAAACACATCAACACCACACAAAGGTTAATTTAGTTTTCTGTAGAGGAAGCTTTAACTTATTTAACTCTGGCAATCAACAGAACATCTCATTTGACTGGGGGTGTTGCAAACTGTTGCTCTGACTGTTTACAGTGGTGTTGGGTAAAATTTATGACTATTTGTTTGGATGTCTAACAAACTGTGATTATGATGCACCCTGGGACCCCACGTGCCACGTGGCCTTAGCATGTACAAGAAAAAATAAAGCCTAATCAGGAAACGTCCTGTGTTTTACTGGAAAGCACTCTAAAATATGTTAAATATCATACCCCACTTCCAGGCACACAGTCATGGATAGACCACAACTGAATGTGTGAGTGGAAGTCCAACTGTCCAAACAATCGATGCTGTCCATCATTGCCTCGGTCACTGCCTTCAGCAGCGAGCCATCTCTTCAGACTCTGACAGAGAACAGACAGAATTTAACCTCTTATTCTCCAGGGTATATTTTGGTTTGTCCATCTGAATTCACATGAAATCGTAAGGCAAATTATTCAGTAACTGCATCAAACAAATGTAAATTTTTGTTTTATTTATTTATTTTTTTTGTAAAAGCTCCCCTTAAATTAACAGAAAATGTGTTTTATGATCACACATATTGCTCTATGCTTACAATTTACTGCTGAAAGCCAAAAATCGTAGACGCTCTTTGTATTATTTTATAAAAAATAATTTTTACAGAGTACTTCACTGAAGAGACGCCATCTGTTTATAATTTATAGCCCAGATTTGTGGAAAAATGGGTCGACTTTCAGTAGACAAAAAAAATTGTGAGTTCAGCTTCTTTTATTATAAGGGTTTAAAATTACATCACCCATCTATTTGACTGGAAAGAAGAAAGTTACAACTCTCATATGACACCCACCTTTTGAATGTAGCTTATGAAATATGAAAGTTATGAAGAATATGACGAAGTGCGTTGTGGAACCACCGGTGGTCTTAAGGAGTTGAAAAGGTTAAAATACATTTTAAATGTGTGATAAACTGGCTGAGAAACTAACATGAAATGATATAGCCAGCAGAAATGTTGCCTCAATTTGTATGATGGGTGAAAGACATCTTCACACAGACATTACAGACTGAGCTGATATATGTACCTGCTCCTCTAGTTCAGAAGCCAATAACAACATAAAGCCAATAACATATAGAAGTCCATTGTTTCCAAGTAACTGAAGTACTACATTGCTGTGTTGGCTCACCTCATGCAAATAATGCTGTGCCCTGTGTTGCTGTTCAAACAGCTGCTGAATCAAATGACTCATTGTTGTGTTTGTTTGTAATGGTCATGTTCATGTATGTATATGTATATAAGGAGAAGTTAAAGACAAGTTTCCACACTGGTGGACCATCACCATCAGTTATAGTAGAAACCTGTAGCTCCTGTTGCTGTAGTTGCTGTTTTCAAGAAGAATGCTTTACCATGGAAGGGTAATCAGTAATATATTTGAATAAAGTAAACAAAAGTACAAGACCTGTCTTATTCACTCTGTATATGAAGTGATTGACCGCTGAACATGATGCAGTGTTATTTGCATATGCAATACAGAGGACGGGCATGACGGGCAGAAAGCGATCGAGTAAAGGTGACGTCATGGAACTTCCAGTAGAACTGTTTTGTCTGGGGTTGCCAGAATTCATTTTCCTTTTGAGGATCATAGCGTGCTCCACGATATGACAGCTGAAATGTAATCTCAACCTGAATTATTTGGACAAGATTTTGGTAAGTTTGATTTTTTTTGAAGAGGTCACAACATTGTATATTTAAAAGCACTGAGCTGATTCTCAGAGCATAAGGCTGATTTTTGGAGGCTGTGTAAAGAATGGGGAAAGTATCTAAGGACAGAGAACAACCAAGAGGGCTTTTCTGTAACACTTTTCAAACATCATAGTGTTTAGTTGAGCTGATCAACTTTTTAAGAACAAACTGGGGAAAGCATGGCTGTAGCACTAAATAGACACCACTGTTTAAAACCTATTTGCCACATGATCGTTTTTAAAATAACGACGATTATCTATAAAAGTGATGTTTATTTCATTGTAACAAAGATTATAACAGCTCAACTAAACATTATGACAAGGTAAAGCTGTGGTTAACACCTTGAAAAAGTAATGATGGCTGAATTTTGATTAAATATTGATATTGAAATGTATTCAGCACATGTTTTCTGTTGCAATACATACAAAGTAACATTATTAGAATACATTTAGACTGTATGTCGATAGTGAACTTGGGAAAATGCACAATTTTACTTCATTCCCGCATTTACTTCGTTCCTCACTGTTACTGGTTGGCAGTTTACTTATTTGTCATTATTCTATCATCAAAAGTGTTTCTGTTTTTCATAAGCTTATCAGTTATTGAAATTACTCAAATGAATCTGAAATAAACCAACAAGTGGGGTTATTATGAAGACATGTGGGCTTTAAAGGTATAACGGGCCCCTTTATGGGACCATTTCTGTTCTTTTTTTTAAAGAAATTATATAAAACTTGCCTGAAAAAGTTAACCAGAGATTCACCTTTCATTTTATTATACATCGTCTTTTTTACTAAGATTTAGATGGGTTTATGCCTTTTATATGGCGTTACTAAAATAAAAATATTTGCCAAATACATACTGTCCCAGTTTTGCTAACTCAGTATACTAGAAATATATCTCCCAGTAACAAAACCTTTACTATTACGATTTGCAATTTTTAGTTAATGATGTATGTTAATGACATATGCAATGTTATACTATGAAGAGCAGTCTGGCACAAACCCAGTGCTAAAGTTATTACTCATAAACATGTCCGCTACTGAGGAAACTGTTCAGTTCCAGTCAAACCTCAAAAGAGCAGTACCACTGACATTAATAAATGGCTCATCACAGTGATTTATCAGTCTACTCAGTCTTTAGCAGGATCTTCAGTGTTAGTAAAGAAGCTGTTTCTTGAGTTACTGTGTTGGTACCAAAGGTGGGAATAAGTCACAGTTGCAAGCAACCACTATGTCTCAAGTTTTGACACTCAAGTCCCAAGTCGAGACAGTCAAGTCTTGATTCAATTCCCGAGTCAGTACAGGCGAGTCTCAAGTCAAGTCCCAAGTCAATACTGGTGTGTCCTAATCTTTGAGTCCTAAACAAGTCAGTGCCTTCTGAAGCAAATTTAAGGCCAGTTCAACACTGAATACCAAACATGATGGTAACTATAATAGAGCCTTTTAATGACAGCATGTTCGTAGTTGTGGTATGCACCTGTCCCCTGGGCCCTGATGATGGCCGCAAGAGCTGGCAGGAAGGTGGGGCCTGAACTCCGAGCCCAGACGAAAGCCCGCAAAGATAGCGATCATCATCAGTGCCCTCACGGCCATCGTCAGGGCCCAGGGGACGGGTGCATGCTGCAGCGGTGTATGTCTGTATATTAAGTTTTTTGGGGTTTTTTTTTGCCCTTTCAAATAAAGTACAAAATCAACGGTACAAGGATAACTATGACAGACATAATAGTATACACAAAGAGTAGTACAACTACACATGAAAAGAATTTTCAAAGAACTATTAAACTTAATAAAAATTGATATTTTGAGATTTTTTAATGATTTTGGGGAGCATTGGGAGCATAGGATTCAAACAAAAAAACTAGCTCAGCACTAAAACTAACTCAGCAAACTAAAAGCAACTGCTGAACAAAGTGGACAGAACAGACAACAAAAATGATGCTGAATGACGAAGCTGAAGGCTTCTTTGAATTTTCTGTTTCATCTTAAATGGTGCAGCAATCAGGTGCCGGAATGTAACTGCTGCAACATTTAAGTGGAACGGCAAATTCCAACGTGATGCTGGCGGATAACAAGGCAACTTCAGCCTCGTGGTGAATGCTGTGCTTGTTTTACCAGCAGAAGCTGTTAAAATCAGTCAAATAAAAACACCTCTGTTTATTTTGTTCTGATAACATGAGGAAAATGGTCAGTTGACCTGCAAAGTTTCTCAGAGTTTAAGTGCTAAGGACTTATTGATGCTTCGCTTGTTACTAGCTAATGGAGGCGAACTTGAATTCTAAGCGCTACTTGTCTGCAGAAATAAAATAAGCTGGGCATAAACACAGTAACAGACATTAGACAACATAGGTGTACAACTAATTCACAGCAGGAAACGAATTGATTCACATAAAAAGTAAGCGGCTGTGTAGAGTCCTGTCTGCATTCAAATGCCTGTCCACGTTCTTCTACTTTGGGTGTCGAGTCTTTCCAAGTCATGAGGCTCAAGTTCGAGTCAAAGTCGAGTCATTGCTATTTGAGTCAAAGGTGCAAGTCTTTCTTTGTCAAGTCAAGTCTCATGTCATGAAATTTATGGCTCGAGTCCAAGTCATATGACTCGGACTCGAGTCTTTCCAGGTCATGAGGCTCAAGTCCGAGTCAAAATCCGAGTCATTGCTATTCGAGTCAAAGGCGCAAGTCTTTCTCGATTTTGCCTAGTCGAGCCCCAAGTCGTGAAATTTCTAACTCAAGTCTGACTCAAGTCCAAGTCATATGACTCAATACTCGAGTTTTTTCAGGTCATGAGGCTCAAGTCCGAGTCAAAATCTGAGTCATTGCTTTTCGAGTCAAAGGCGCAAGTCTTTCTCGATTTTGCCTAGTCGAGTCCCAAGTCATGAAATTTGTAACTCAAGTCTGACTCAAGTCCAAGTCATATGACTCAATACTCGAGCTTTTCCAGGTCATGAGGCTCAAGTCCGAGTCAAAATCTGAGTCATTGCTTTTCGAGTCAAAGGCGCAAGTCTTTCTCGATTTTGTCTAGCCGAGTCTCAAGTCACAAAATTTGTGACTCAAGTCTGATTCGAGTCAAAGTCATATGACTTGAGTCATCATCTCTGCCAAGCTGGTACACACTGTGTACTGATTTTGAAATAATAAAGCATTGATGAAATTATTTTAAAAACTTGAATTTATTTCTTTTAATTTAGTGGGTATGTTTTCCAAAAGTATTGTTTTAAAATGGTACAAACTTGGACTGAACGCAGAAACACATTCTGAATACTTGTATTCCATTACATCTTAATCCAGGTGAAACATTTACATTTGGATTTACAGTGTAATACTTTTGCAAGATATATGTGCTTAATGTAAGACATGACAAGCAGAATAATTCCTCACACTGTATTAATAATTTCATTCTTTTTTCTTACCACAGTGTTCACAGCTCTTACAGCAGCAGGCAGTTGCTGACATGAATTCCATCTACATCACAGTTCTGTTGATCACTGGAGTCAGTGTTGGTTATGGTGACAGTATATCAACAAACTGTTTAAACGGTACAATCAAATACTTCATTTAATCTTAAACAGGTTACAGTAGGGCTACTGAGTGGTTCGACCATCTAAACACTGACCCTCCTTCTCCCCCACCATGTTATGCTAGCCAGTGCAGTTAGCATTCTCTTCTAAGAAGTCAAGTTAGCAGCAGTTGGAGAAAATGTAACTGGTTTTCATTGGAAATTGTGTCTCAGGGGAAAGACGTGCGAGCCTTCACCTTCTCAGCTTGGTAGCATGCTGTGATGGGCAAAAAATCTAGTTAGCAGGTAGAACTGGAATTGGAGAGAAAATTCATATAATAATAATAAAAAGCCTATTTTAGATGAGTGGTAACTCAAATCTCATACTGAGTGTGTCTTACAGTAAATACAATGCTCTAGCAATGGAGACTAGTTAGATCATGTTTGAATAATATTTTCATTCTAAATTTGCAGTTTAAAAGTGTTGACATAACAGATGTGTCCAGCATAATGAGGGTCTCAAATCTTTCCAAGTTATGAGGCTCAAGTCCGATTCAAAGTCCAAGTCATTGCTATGGCCGAGTCAAAGGCACATGTCTTTCTTGATTTTGTCAAGTCTCAAGTCATGAAATTTGTTACTCGAGTCTGACTCGAGTCCAAGTCATATGACTCGAGACTCGAGTCTTTCCAGGTCACGAGCCTCAAGTATGAGTCAAAATCCGAGTCACTGCCATTCGAGTGAGTGGTAACTGAAATCTCACACTAAGTGTGTTTTACAGTAAATACAATGCTTTAGCAATGGAGCCTATTTAGATAATGTTTAGATAATATTTTCATTCTAAATTTGCAGTTTAAAAGTGTTGACATAACAGATGTGTCCAGCATAATGAGGGTCTCAAATCTTTCCAAGTTATGAGGCTCAAGTCCAATTCAAAGTCCAAGTCATTGCTATTGCCGAGTCAAAGGCGCAAGTCTTTCTTGATTTTGTCAAGTCAAATCTCATATCATAAAATTTATGGCTCGAGTCTTTCTAGGTCATGAGGCTCAAGTCCGAGTCAAAATCCGAGTCATTGCTATTCGAGTCAAAGGCGCAAGTCTTTCTTGATTTTGCCTAGCCGAGTCTCAAGTCATGAAATTTGTAACTCAAGTCTGACTCGAGTCCAAGTCATATGACTCAATACTCAAGTCTTTCCAGGTCATGAGGCTTAAGTCCGAGTCAAAATCCGAGTCATTGCTATTCGAGTCAAAGGCGCAAGTCTTTCTTGATTTTGCCTAGCCGAGTCTCAAGTCATGAAATTTGTAACTCAAGTCTGACTCGAGTCCAAGTCATATGACTCAATACTCAAGTCTTTCCAGGTCATGAGGCTTAAGTATGAGTCAAAATCCAAGTCACTGCCATTCGAGTGAGTACAGTAAATACAATGCTTTAGCAATGGAGACTATTTAGATAATGTTTAGATAATATTTCCATTCTAAATTCGCAGTTTAAAAGTGTTGACATAACAGATGTGCACAGCATAATGAGCCTGTTTAAGATGAACAAATCAAACATATTTTCATAATTTTATGTGTACATATTTACTTATCTTTATGTATTTCTTGGTATCTGCAGGGTTCACTAGTGAACTGTCACAAATTCAGAATATAAGCTCCTTGAACATCACAATGAACATCACAGGCCCTTCAGGGTTGAACATTAGGATTTCTGATAGCGCAACTCAGTTAGAATGCAACTGGGGGCACCATGAATGTCACATAGAGTGTGAATTTCTCAGTGGCACCAAGAACCTAAGCAGCCTACTGGAAGAGGAAATATGCGTACAAAATAGCCAAGACACTCAACTTGACTTCATCCTAAGTAAGCAACTGTATTTTGTCCTCATACATAAGTTTATAATGACTTAAAGGAAGAGTTCAATGATTCGGTGCCTGTACTGATCAGTTCTGTTCTCTGTTCTTCAGGTAAATCCAATAAAAGTTGTAATGTCACAATGTGCAGAGAAGACAGTGTAATCACACTAATGGATGGAATCAATAACATCAATTCTACAGCAAAAGAATTGAAAAGATTGCTTATTATTAAAAACATGTGTGCGGATTTGTTTAATAGCAATAACATTACAAAATCATACATCAGGTAAGCAAACAGTAGACTTCCCAGGTCAGTAGGGGTCACCAACTTTAGACTGGTTGAAAACTGTCGTTCTGTCTCTGCCACATAGGACAGAGAAAAAGTGCATACTTGACATCATCAGGATACCCTTTAAAGAGAATAGAGAAGACTTTGACCTAGAGGACTTGGCCATGACTGTGGTTAGGATGGACAAGAGCACCGTTAATGATGATTTTGTAAAGATCAGTACTCCTCAGGTAATACACAGCTCAACCAAAAACATAAAACACTGCTCCTACTGCTAAAACTGATAAAAATAATAACAATAACAATAATAATAGTGGTGTATTCTACTGTTTTATCTTACATTATTGTGCTGACTAAAAAGCTAAAACAGGAAAACATCTGCCTTTGCTGTCTCATAGGTCTCAGATCGTCTCCTGTCTGTGACTACAATGATCCCTGTGGAGCGTTTCCAAAATGTTTCAGAAGAAAAGAGCAAGGTTGCTGTAGTTATGTACTCCTCTGCCAAGCAGTTTATGGTAAGAAAAAATCTTCATAGCCATTTTCTGTGTCATTCAGTGACGACAGATTAATATATTAAGTCCATGAGTTAAGTTTCTTGTATCCATGAATTCGTATTCTGAAGGCATATGGCCACAAGACACTTGTCACACTCGTGGCCTCAATATACTAATCTGTAGCCTCAATATATTAATTCATGGCCACAGGAAACTTAACTCGTATTTGTGGACATGCCTTATTAACGAATAATCACCATGTCATACGTTTAGAAATAAAGGTTCGGTGCTGGTACATTTCTCATTTGTCAAGGTGCAAACAATGCAAATGTTCCCCAAAGGTACAACAGTGGTTTTAAGGTCTGATTGTGAGCCTTAAATAAGTTTTTCCAGGTGAAAAGTACATATTTGTACCTTTTCATAACCGAATGTTTTAAAACAGAACAATAAAATAAAAGCCTGGAGACGAGACGGGGTGTGTGGAGTCAATACAACTTACAAATTATAATTTCAATAGATTATGGTACAGTTATGCTCCCTGACTAAAGGTACTGAGCTACCATCCCAGTGACAAGAGGGGTACTGCCCCAGTGACCGTGTCATACCTTTTTTCTGAGAGTGCACCTTTTTGGCTGTCGTACATTTCTGCCAGTTGTTCTGAAGGTTTGATGCTCATTCAATGTTGCCCATTTTCTGACAGCTGTTTTGTTTTTATTCCCTCTGAAAACATCCACAGATCAGCCAACGGAACATAACGATTTTGTCTCCAGTCATTCGGATTGAAGTTGTCGATCAAATCATTAAAGATTTGGCCAAGTCGCTTAGTATCAATTTCACACTGAATAACAATTCTGCAGTACCTGTAAGTGATCTAGAAATATGTTTCAAAACACTGTCATTTTTTGCACTCTTACATTCTTGTGCAAGTTTCTGTCACTATTCTTTCTGATTCTGCCCTTTTGTTTCTTTTCGTAGGCAAACTATTGCTTGTCATGTCAGTACTATGATGAAGGTATGTAAATTTTGGTCAGGTGCCAGTTTCAGTCTTTTTTTTTGGTGAGTGTGTCATTACAGGAACAGTAATAATGACAATTACAAAGGCTTTAGAACCCATTGAGAAAGAAGAAATACTTGCTGAAGAACTCTCAGATTGCTCTGTAACTCAGAAAATCTGCTTTTAACTATGGGTACACTTGCAGGGACACTTAAATGCTTTTTATTTACAAAAATAATTCCATTTTCACCACAACACACACTCAAATACAGTGTGTATTAAATAGCAATATTATGGATATATGCTTAAAGGTTCTATGATCCTAACACCGTCTTTTCCGACTTTATGGGTTCTGCTGTCCTCTTGTCCCTCATCAGTGGTCAGTTTAGACCCTAGGACTGCTGTCCGTTGGACATTTTGGTTGCTGGACTAGTCTGGATTAGATTAACGCCTTAAAACACACACACACACACACACAAATATATATATATATAGTTTGCTCAGTTTCCAGCACATCCCGCTTTAGCGCTAGGCTGCTGACACTAAAGGGGAAATTTTTCAAAATTTCTGTATAATCCAGTCTCTGAGATATTAGGATTAATAAAATCATTCAGAGTGGTTTGATGTGAAATGGTTCATTGTAGAGAGACTTAGCTACTCTGATGTCTTTACAGTGCTGGTGATAGGAAGAGAGGAGCAATGTTTACAATGCCGATATGGACATTTTATTTAAGAACCAAACCGCTAGTGAACCTATATGTGTCTTATGAGTTTTTATATGTAATGTTGACGATGGTACAACAGTGGTAAATCTCAAAAACATATGTTTTCTTCGGGGACTATTTTGCCTTACAATGCCATGCATGTATCTTTCCACCAGGACTGGGTTTAAAAATGTCCAAGTCCAAATTCTTATCACAAAACTGTCATAAAACAAGAATTAAAAAGAATTAAACTCATCTCTGTTTAATTCTGCAATAATAATAATAATAACAATAACAACAACAACAACAATAATAATAATAATAATAATAATAATAATAATAAACCTACAACATAAATGATTTACAATTAAATAGGCCTAATTATTCTCACTTCGTAATGAAACTGATGATATTCATGATATGTGCACAAAAGCATATTGTAACATAATTTATCACGAAATCGATAAAATATGTGTATGTAATGTAATATGTAATGTTGTCCACCTCTACAGCAATGTTTTGCACTTCATTACGGGAAAAAGTCTGGTTAAGTGTTTATATGTCTTTATCACACCTAATTAGATCTCTCACTTTCCATTGCAAGTGATTCTGTGGTACAAGGGATCAATCTGATTAATCTGGGATGCAACCATACATGTCACCTGCCTTTGTCCCCAGTATTTGTATTGAGTTTTTGAGAAAAGCTGATGTATAATAGAAACATATTTTTATTTCTCTAATAAGGGTGATATTAATCATAATATACATTCATTGTGTGTGTATTGCCTGCTTACCCACTATATATATATATATATATATATATATATATATATATATATATTGTATATAATATATATTGTTTATATATATATATATATTATAATATATATTGTTTTTTTGTTTCAACCACTTATATATGTATGTGTGTGTATATATATATATATATATATATATATATATATATATATATATATATATATATACATACAGGTGTCCAGAGCTTTCGGCAGTTAACAATTCAAAACTGACATTTTTGTTTATTTCATGACACATTTTTAACAGACAATCACGAATGGATAGGCCGAAAATGTCTCAGTCCCCGAGACTATTATAACGACAGCAACATTGCAAACTGCTCGTATGATCACATGACTCCCTTTGCTGTTCTTATGGTAGGCACTGAATTTGTTATTAGGTATATATACACACTTCATATTGGCAGATAAAAAAATCAAATACATTTTGCTAATAGATCAAAATTCTCTCACCGCTCCTCTCTTTAATTGTTTGTGTGTGTGTCTCTCTCTCACATTAGGTTGACGTGCAAATAGATAAAACGCACTGGCAAATCTTGTCGTATATAAGCTACATTGGGTGTGGTATCTCAGCACTTTTCTCTCTTGCCGCCATCCTTATCTTCTTTGTCAAGAGGTGGGTACACAATTATTTGTTCTGTGTCAGAGGTCATTTTGGTTTTGGTTCCCTAAAGAACCTTTCTGCAGGTGGCTCTTTAAAGAATCATTTTAGTAAATAAGATGAGTGTGTCTGAAGAACCATTATAAAGGCCCAATCCCATTTCTTATTTTTGCCCCAACCCTTTGTTTTCAAGTGTCACTTTACACGATTTCAACCACTACCCCTTGTAACACAGTCCCAAGGGGTAGTGGTTGAAATCGTCCCTATGAAATGGGACCCTCAAATAAAAAAAGAACATTACTTCATTAACAGGCTACTAGCGGTGCTCTGTATACAACCCTGCTGGTCTGTAGTGATAGGGCACAGATTTGCTTCTCAATTTAACTTAATTTAATCTAACCACCTTGGGAGCCATAACTTTTTTTGAAGTAATGTTTCATCATCTTGGCAGTAAGTATGCCTCAGTATGTCCTAATGTCCAAATATAGGCTAAAAGTATAATATAAATGAAAACACAGACTTACTTTGCTCTGCTTTAAGCTTTAGCTCTGCTATAGCCACTTTTCTCGTATCTCCAGCAGGAAACTTTTCCACAAAAATAGGATAGTTTATTGTAAAATGTCTCTCAACATTCAACTTTTTACGAGGCTGAAGTTGCTTCTCATTCACCAGCTTCTAGTTCTAATTTTTCCGTTCCACCTTAAATGTTTCATGGAACATGAAAATTTGAACAGGAAGCTGGCAGGCAAGAACCTGACTTCAGCCTCGTGACTTTTAAGTGTTTGACAGTTTCTCATTGCAGATTAAACATATCAGGAAACCAGCTGGAGTGATTATAAATGCAAATACTTTGTCTTGAATTCCATAAGTCTTCAAATTATCTATGTTCGTCTTACACCTTTCCTTCTGCTTTTTCATTAGCTACTAGCTAGGCGAGATTCTTGTCTGTGTTACTACTGACCAGCAGCCTGCGCACCAACCTTTAAGGTTAAAGGGTGTATTAGCAATTATACATTAATTCCAGCTGTGGAGCCGCACAGGGCAGTAAAAGAGCTGCGTGTGGCTCCTGAGCCGTATGTTGCTGACCCCTGGGCTAGGCTGATAATATTAGCAGAGGTGAAAAAAAGACATTAAAATTTGTCTGTTCATCTTAAGAGACTGGCGGCCTTTCTAAGTGTGAATTTTAAGCTTTATGTTAGCTTCTATGGGTTTGTGATCTGAGTTTAATAGTAAAAGTAAGGTGACTGTTGGTATCAGGGTCTCTGGTCACTGTCTCCTGGTGAATCTGGTGTGTGCAGTAGTCTGTAGCCTTTCTTATATTCTTATGTACTTTGTTAACATGTTTACATGGTATCTGTTTTTATTCTCTCAAAGGACACCAACCGCAGACTCCTCCAACAGCATCCATGTATCTCTGAGTGCCGCCCTGTTGCTCCTCAACACCAGCTTTCTGTTTAGCGAGTGGGCAGCCAGCTGGTCTATAGAGGGCGTCTGCGTGTTCGTGGCTGTGATGATAGAGTACAGCCTGCTGTGCTGCTTCTCCTGGATGGCCATTGAAGCACTGCACGTGTACCTGCTTCTGATTAAAGTGTTCAACACCTACATCAGACACTACATGGTCAAGCTGTCCTTGTTTGGCTGGGGTGAGAAATACAGCCATGTAGTTCACAACCAGTATTGGGGTAGATACTTAAAAAGCAATCCATTACAAATGAGCCAGTAACACTGATTCAAATTACTAACTAGTTAAAGCTCTTGATCCATCAGTTTCATATTAGCATGATTAAATGTTTCCGTAGAGTGTTTGCTGTGTTTACAAAGCTTCCAGTGCTCACACTGCACTACTAACATCCAGACACAGATAATCTATATAGAGGAAACATGATTTAAATGCAGCACATGTAATTAATAGAGACATGTGAGTAACACAATGTATGTAATGTATATGTATGTATGTGAGTAACACAAATAACTAATAGGGACGTGTGAGTAACTAAAATCTTTATTTCAAATTATCATCAAATTAATGCATTGCACTACTTTGTTACAGGAAAAATTAATTACATTATTGTAACACTTTACTTTATAGAGCGTCACCCCCCACACTGCCCACACCGCAAAACACACTGCCACATCAGCCCAGGAGGGAATTATCATTATCATTATCATTAAATTATTAGCAAAATGATATCACCCCTAAGCATTCAGGTTTTACAATAAAGCAGCTGCATAATAGGTGCATAAGAAACAACAAAGAGCAATAAAAATTTTTCCTGGCGTTTTTCCAAACAGGGGTGCCTGCTCTTTTTGTTGGAGCATCTCTGAGTGTGTACAAGGTTAAGGCTTTCTACGGCAGCAAGAAGGTGACATTAACAGACACCACAGATAAAACAACAATGTGAGTGAAGTCTTTAACTATGCCATTTAGATTTTTTGCTGTAAATGAAAAATGCCTAAACTGACTGTTTTGACTGTTTGACTGAATGAGTAGCCACGTTGTCCTGCAGTATGATAGTTACCATTAAATACAGTGTTGTGTAGATTACTTTCTCCAGTACTTATGGATTACATTGCTGAAACGTAATCAGCAACGTAACCTGATAACTTTTGCACTAATTTGATCTACCTCACTTACTTGGATTCATAATCCACTAATTGGTTTCACAATCGGTTTATCAGTTTATGGGCAACCTCCGTATATTAATAAACGCATTTATTTGTAGCCTAATCAAAAAGTTTATCAACTGAAAATGCAGTCCCTAAAATAGTAATCCATAAAAAAGTGATCTGGTCCTGTATATTTGAAAGGTATCTAACTCTAATTACGAAAGCTTAATTTTTTAAACTAGATTACGTAATCCAGAATACAACCAAACAATGACTAAATGCCTACCTTAAACAAGCACTCCTGATCCTCACCATGATGTGTTTTATATTCTGCAGCTGCTGGGTCACTGATGTTTTCTTCCTGTACGGAATGAACATCGCCTACTACAGCATCGTGTTCTTGTCAAACACGGCCGTTCTCTCGACAGTGGCCTCTCAGATTTGTAAGCTACGGCGTTTGGGATCCAAAGGCAAGAAGCTTCCTACTTGTAAGGACATTAGTACTGTGCTGGGCCTGACCTGCCTGCTGGGATTGACGTGGGGCTTGGCTTTTGTTACCTCTGGATACACAAATTACCCCGTCCTCTACCTCTTCTGCATCTGCAACACCCTGCAAGGTACCTTTAATACAGTTATGGGCAGTTTTGGGCAGTAGGTTCTATAGAACAAACTATAACCTCTCTCACACTTACAATAACCATTTACTCATTTTATTACACTTGTGTATTTGAAGATACACACAAAATGTTTTCAACCTGAATCAAACCTCTTTCAGTAGCTCAGCTGTTGTCAGTTAGCATTGGGAACAGTCGCATTCCCCTTTCAGACTCTAGTTTGTGCACAGCTCTGTCTAAGAGCCATTTTCCATCCTCAAGTTAACTATGAGACATGAGCTACTCAGTATGAGCTCACTATATGGAATGCTAGGTTTTTTATTGGTGCCTCTCAATTAGGGGTGGGAATCTTTAGGCACCTCACAATTCGATTCGATTACGATTCAGAGGCTGCGATGCGATTATAAAACGATTATCGATGCATCTCGATGCATCTTTTTTCTCTATACAGGATTTCTATCTTCCTACTGTCTGAGGACTTGGTAGTTTTAAAGCAAAGTATTTGTAATGATCCATAATGTAAATGCATTGGGGGGGGTATTTTCGAGATTGGACGCTGAATCTCGGCCCTGGTTCTCAATGACCTAGAACAGAGAGCAGACAGCAGGTCACATAGCACCGAGGTCTGGCCTCAGCAGTAGCGAATGAAAAAAAAGAGATTAAGACGAACATTTGGAGGACTTATTCACATTTATAAGCAGCGTGGTTGGTTAAATCTGCAATGAGTTAAAAAAAAAAAGTTGCGAAAATGAACTCGCTTCTCTTTCGAATTTTCCCGTTCCACCTTAAATGGTGCAGCAGTTACATTCGGCGCCTAAAGCAGAATTTAAGATGGAACAGGAAAATTAGAATGAGAAGCTGGCGAATGAGAAGCTGGCGAATGAGAAGCTGGCGAGTGAGAAGCGACTTCAGCCTCGTAAAACAGCCGGACATTTTAGAAGAAACTCTTCTAGTTTTGAGGAAAAGTTTTCTGGCGGAGACGGGAGGAAAGCGGCTGTAGCTAAAGCTTCAAGCAGAGCGGAGTAAATCTGCGCTCTCATTTATATTTTTAGCCCATACTAGGACATTATCACACACTGACACATACTGAGACATTAAATGTTGTGGCTCCCAAGGTGGTTTGATTTTTGCTGAAAGGACAAAATGGCTCTTCTGAACATTTGTGTTGTGACTCCTGATCTAACCTGGCTTTAATGCAGAGGAGCCGGTCGGATTTCTCAATCGTCCACTTGTGTTTTTGTTATGTGCCGCCACAGACTGTCCGGGCGCTGCACTTCCGCACTTCCAGTTCCGCCTTTTGCGTTCCGTCAACATCACGTTATAAATTAAATATTTAGAAAATCGATTTTTGACATTTGTGAATCGATTCAGAATCGTTCACGTCTGCATCGCGATGCATCTAAGAATCGAGTTTTTCCCGCACCCCTACTCTCAATATAGTTCTTTAATCAGCTTTTTATTCCCTCTAACAAAACTCTCCACAGCAATTACCAACATTTAGGATGTTAGGCACAATATTAACATCCATAACTGTAGAGTTAGCAGCACTGCTGGCAGTAATATGTCACAAAGTTAGTTCTGGAGATGCAGTGGGCCATTTTTAACCCTAACAACGGGCATAGTTGCTGTGTCCAGCAAAAATGAATAATGAAAGCACGTGACTCTACATCATCACCTCTTCTGTAGGTGCACCTGTGCTCATTTTACAAAAAGATTTACCATAGAGTGTAAATTTCACATATGAATGGGAAAAAATTGATACATCAACAAATGTACTTCTTTTACAAAACATGTGTGTAGCAATGTATGAAAGTTACCAGGTTCTAAAGGCAAAACCGCCCAAAGGCTAACTGGTTCCTAACATCCTGTCACTAGTAGCGTTAAATTTTGGGGGGAGAGGGTGCAGATGAGGTGGAGACACTGCAAAAAAATAAGGTTTTAACTTTAAAAAGTGTTTGGGCTACCTTAAAAGTTTAAGTTAATTCAACTATGAGTAGTGAGGTAAAAGAACAGTGTTTAATGCACTGTAATCTTACTATTTAAAGTTCAAATAACTCAATTTTAAGGCAGCCTGGTAACAAACTTTGTTAAATTAAAAATCCATTCTTTTACAGTGTAACTCACCATTTAAACAAATCCTTTTATATTTTTTTACTTTATTTGACTTAGCCTATCATATCAGAAGCAACACATGAGCATTAGTAGCGGTTAGATGGAAACAAGCTGTGCTGGCTGATGTGACATTTCATTCCTGTCATCTCATGGTAAAATACGGTGACCAACATGACACGATGCACAGTACAATGGAAAACATGTTGCATACTTATAAACGTGATGCAAATTCAGAAAACACATCAACATGACTACACCTGAACTACACTTCACACACGAGCTGCGAATACAGAAAACACATGCAACTTCACAAACACAGCAAAGCCAGTCACAACACAGCGGAAATGTTTCTGAAAGACTCTCAAAGTGGAATGTCCGTGATGGAGATTCAGTGACAGAAGTTGATAAGACCATGAAGACTCAGTAAGACTCCAGTAAGTTCATGGTTACACACAGATACACTCTGCAGATGAGTTGCATTACGATATACTGATATTAGTTATCTGTTCAAATAAAAGTTAACTTGTTTTTATCAGTGAATATTTTTGCTGCCTAGAATATAAACATTTAAATCCTCTTGGAGTGTCCTTCCGAAAACATTTCCATTGTGCTGTGACTGACTCTGCAGAGCTTCGGAAGTTGCATGTGTTTTCCGTATTTGCAGCGTGTTTGTGAAAGTAATGCTTATGTAGAGATTTTGATGAAGGTGTTTCTGCATTTGGTCTTTGCAACCAGCGTAGTAAAGTTACTGGGTTTGCCCCTGGTTTGGTCAAACTAAACTAGTTTTGGGAGGTCTATGGTGGGGAAGCCTTGCCAAGTCTAGATTACATTATATAGTAGCCACAAAAAAGCCACCAATCTTTGATTAAATGACTCTGTGTGTGTTGGGGGTGGGGGCTGTTTACAACCTACGACTAGATGTAATAATAAGGACCGACCTTTGACCTGTGCGATGTTCATGACCTGCTGATGTTCTGAGAGTTATAAAACAGAGCCTGGGTGGCCTTTTGCATTGACTATCACATTTGCCTATTCAAAATCAAAACCAAACAAAACAAGACAGTTTGCTCACTGAGCCACATCACATACCCATTTTTGTGTCATCTTTGAGAAAAAAGCAGCAAATTAATTATTTGATTAATTGTTCTTTCATTATTTGATCATTATTTCAATCTTTTCACCAGGAAGAGTCAGGCAGTGACAGTCAGGGCTGCATTGAAGAACTGGGCAGATATCAGCACTGTTGTACACCATAAAAAATATGCAAATTTTATTTCCCAAGAGTTTTAGGGTTAGGTTTCACCTCTTAAATTCCCAGGCTTAGTACATACAAAGGCTTATTTTTCCATAACTACATGGACTACAGTGCAAACTGGCTGAATTAAAATGTTGGACCCACCAGTGGATCTTGGCCATTTAAGGGGTCAATGCACATAGGTTAAAGTTGACTAAGCTATAAAGTTGACTATATGTCTGTGACTGTATGCAAGTCACTGAATGTTCAGACCTCAAAATGTCAGTATTCTTTGTCTATTAAGGAAAAAAAGGTCAGATTAACTTAAAAAGTCCTATGAGGTATGATGACATGTTTGTTTTAGCCACCTTACTGTTAACTGTTTTCTGAGTTTATGCAAACAAGGTTAGCTGTGCGAGAGAATGCATAATGAAGTACACTGTAAAAACATACCATTTTTGATGCATGTAAATAAACCATACATATACTGTATTTCAACACTGCTATTGTTAATTTACAGAAAAAGAATATAAATTCACAAAAGCAAATTATCACCTTTATCTCACAAAGATTATCATTTAATGGTTGATGCTGTTATAATTATGGTAAAATACTAATTGTGAGAATTACTAGTTGAACTAGTGAAATTGTTGATTTACAGTAAAAGGCTGGATTTCTAAAAAAAAGTTAAATGACTGTAATTTTACAGACTTTTGCCATCATTGTGAAAACACTTTAACGGTACACGTCCACTACACACTGCACAGAATTCTCCCTCACTTTCTTCGTCAGCACCTTGACACTTGTCTGTCTACAACAAAGGACAAGAGTGAATTTGTTTATCAGTCCTGGATTTCAAACACATTTCAAATAAATTCTCATCTCAAGTAGGCTACAAAGTTAAAAGCTCAGTGTAGTTTATAAAATCATAGTTGTCAGAACAAAATCTCTAAAACATGATCTTTTTAACAGAATGAAAAAACGTCCTTAACTTATAACAGGAGTTAATGTAACGAGTCGTTTTGGACCATTTCTAATGATCTGGTCATTATTAAATGTGAACACAATGGAAAAGGTAACTGGAGTTTCCAAATTATGCAAAAAAGCGAAAAAGTACAAAAATGGAGATGCAAGATTTTTGCATGACAGCAATGATTTGTTGGTTGCTACATGGCTATCAGCCAACAAAAATTAATCATTCGGATGAGGAATCTGAATGCAGTGGACATGCACCTTAAGTTAAGGTTAATTAATAGGTTTTGTCTGGCACCCCTGCTGCTGGACTTTTTATCCGGAAATTTTGTCATGTAGCAAGTTGAAACACCAGAAAACAGTAGAAAGGACTGTAAATGTACTTGCATGAAATAATATAATATGAAGTGCCAAAATATAAACTGAATGAACATGGAGCTTGAGAAATGGGTAGCTATAAAGACTGTTTGTTGGTTATCATATTAAATAGTTTTATTAGTTTCACTTTTTGCTGTTCACATAAACCAAACATGATGGAGCTCCATTCAATGCATTCTAGCCCAATGTAACCCCTGAGATGCAAAGAAAAACAACACTCACTGCAAAAGTGTGCATTATCTAGAACATAGGTCTTCAATTCTGGACCAGTTTCAAGGTTTTATAACTACTGATGTAACTGATCAGGGCCATAAGCATTGAATAAACCACACTGCTGTACTACACCAAGTGCAAACTTCTCCTTTATGTTCTCCTTCTTTACCCCCCTTTGCCCCATATGTAAAGTTTTATGTGTATATACTTCATTCATTCTTCCATAAACTACAATTACTCTTCCGTTAACTGCTCTGACTGCTTGTTAGACTGTTTCATTTTATTTGGTTAATTATATTTGGTTAATTATTAAGTTATTTAACAATTTATTTTTGGCTGAGAATACATATTTAAGCCTGTACACTAATTCAGTTCATGGCGTATCTTTAGTTTTGGTTTCGTTAAACACTTAAAAAGACGTTCTTTAAAAAAGGGAATGGTTCTTTTTAGAACCATGAGTTGTACATAGAACCTCTGCATGCCTAAATGGTTCTTTGCATGGTGTGTTGTATGTGATTCTGTATGGAACCTTTTTTTGAATATGGCTCTACCCAGCACTTAAAAAGGTTCTTCTCTTGTTACAAGCTTGACATCGTAACAATAGCAGAACCCTTTTTGGTGCTACATAGCATCATATTCAAAAATATATATACAACACATTCTCCATCAGTCTGAAGAACCATTTTACCATGCAAAGAACCATTTAAGCATACATGGTTCTCTGTAGAACTCATGGTTTCACTAAAGAACTGTTGAAGAACCCTTTTTTAACAGTGTAGTTTAGTTTATTCTTAACAATGATAATAAACAGAATGTTTAAATCCTTAAAATCCCAGGCTTATTACATACTAATGCTTATCATTGAGTCCCTCCATTACAAACTGGTTGAGCTATTCTATAGATGTGTGCTTTGGGCCTGTCAGCGGACCCTGGCCCTTTAAGAGGTAAACAAACTATATATAAACACTGGAACTATTAGGAATTATTTTTTGTGATGGCACTGGTACTAAAGATGACATTCTCCATTACGCTATGTAATCATAAAATTTGCATAAAATTTTGGAAAGCCTGAAACATACAGTATGTTGTGGTTTAGTGAGAAACGTTGTCTTGTTTTGTTTTTTGAATATGAAAATGTGATATAATGTTGATCCAGAGGGCAAAACAGGCTCTCTTTTATAACTCTCAGAATATCAGTAGATCACTAATGTCACACAGGTCAAAAGTTAATCTAGTCACAGCAAAATAAACACAGAAAACATATTATAGAAAACAGCTGGGGTTTTTTTCAGTATTTAGTGTATCCACCCTTCACCTTTACTACAGTTTCCATTCTTTTCAGGAGACTTGGGTTCAGCTTTTCAAAGAAATCTGCAGGGATATTTTTTAACACCTCTAAAGTTCAGTCTTAGAAGTTGGTTGCATTTTCTTCTTCTCATGATTCAAATAATCCCATGCTCAAATTTAAACAATCAGTCTGTAAAACATTACACCACATGACCATTTTCCTTGTTCTAGTACAGTTTTTCTTCTTTTTGTTTTTTTTTAAGGCTAATTCCTTCCCTCAGTAACAGCTCCTTGAAAGCTACACATCCTTTCAGACCTTTCATTCTTTTAAAGTAGCTACAAGAGCTGTGTGCTGCCATTCATTGCATTTAAAGGTTTAATTGATTTCACCAGCTCCATTTGCCATTCAAATGAACCAAAGGTGCTGAAACTGTTTGCCTTTATTCAGACCCACAGCACTGAGTTCCTCTCACAGTGGAAAGAGTGACAGAGTGAAGTTTCTCTATAACATTGATCAATTTTTTCAAACAATAATTAATTGAGCTCCAGTTTTTGAAACTCCTATTTTTTCACGTATTTTCCTTTGACTTTGCCCTTCCTTAAGCAAGTGGGTTTTCTTATTTCTAATCTCCTCTAAAATATCTCCTGAAAAAATGATGGTTGCCATTTTAACTGGAAATGAAAAGAATGAAGGATCGTCTTTGACTTTTGTTCAGTACGGTTTTTTTTACATTTCGACAAGACCGCAATTAATTTGTGGTTAGCGTTAGCCTAACATGGACACCATACTGATGAGGCCTGTCTCATGATCCTCTCGGCCTTGTCTGCACAACAAGCTGTAGACGAGCTGGTATGGACAGTGTGATTGACTATTATTTTCCAAATTCCAGCAGTGTCTGAATGTCCCGAGGCATGGGTTTATGGGACACATATAAGACAAATTACAAAGTTGAAGTTCAGTATTGTTCAGTTTTGTTTTTATTGTTTTTCACTATATTTCATGTTTACATTGGTTGTTAAAATCGTTCTTATTAAAAATGGAAGGGACACCCTATATATACATATAGGGTATAGGGTGTTCCCTGCCTGCCGCCCAGTGAGCGCTGGGATAGGCTTAGGATAAGCGGCTTAGATAATGTGTGTGTGTGTGTATGTATGTATATATATATATATATATATATATATATATATATACATACATATCACCTACCACCTGATTACAAACAGAGTGGATTCTAGCTCTATCAATATAAGCATATTTCTAGTCGCTTTTACTATTACTCTATTCACAGTAATCATCTGAGTTATGTGTGGAAGCATGACGTTAAATTCTGCTCTATGTCCAGGGTTATTCATGTTCCTGTGGGTCTATGGGACGATGAGGAAGAATCGGCGTGTGGCGGCAGAAACCCTATCTCCAACCGAGCCCTACAGCTCCACAGGCAAACCGAATACCAGCAGCTCCCATGACTTTTCCCACTACTCATAACAGACTTTACAGGGTGCGGTCAGCATTCACCAACACAGAAGCTTCTTCAGCTTTGCCACAGACATCACTGGATATCAAGATGAGAACTGTCACAAGCCATAATCAACTGCACAGTCTACCTTTCTCCATTCACTTGTTTTATCAACATCACAACAATTTTAAGCTTTAGAAGTCGAGTTCATACTTTCAATTTACTCTACAATTCGTGTGTAGCTGCGCAATTACATATTTAATTACATAGTAATTTACCACTGAATTACATTTACATTCAATTTTCATCCTAAATCGACAGGTTCGAGTCTGCAATACTGACCGTTTATCTGTTTATCTGTTTTTTTAACGGCAAGCAATGACAAAAAACATTGCAAAGACAAGATTGTATGCATAACAATAACTTTTTCAAATTAAAATTATAATAAAATATATCCTGTTTTTTGAAACAGGTCACCATGTGGCAGACTTGATTTATCTCCTGTGCAAGCTTACCATGCTGTACCAATAAGAGTCCTTGGGCAAGACTTCTAATGCTACATTAGCCTACCTCTGTAACATGATTAAGTCACTTTAGATAAAAGCATGTTCCAAATGTATAAATGTAAATGTAACTTAGGAAAGTTTAAAAAAAATCAGTACAGGATAATAGATTTAAGTCACATTAATGTAATTTAATTAATCTAAATGAATGAAAACACATTGTAATCTAATATTTTAACTTAAATTTATTTAACTCAAATAAGTCTGTTGTACATAAAACTGAGTATATCCCAAGTATTACCCAACTATTTTAAGTTAGGAGGCGTTTTTGATCATTTTGTACACTCAAATGGCATTTTTGAGTTGAATTAACTTATTGTCTGTTGCCATTACAGCTTTGAAACCATGACATTCAAAACATGAAACTGCACTGTTGCTGGTTTAACTGTTTCTCTCTCATTAAAGTTACTCAACAATTGTGTATAACTGAGTGAAACTCAGTAAGCTGTGTTGGTTAAGTAAAATAAAGTGATATGTTTCTTTTGTTAACACAATCATGTCAGAGAAAATTTCTTTCCTATTGGCTCCTGACTCCATCTATTCGCATATTGAGTGTTCCTTTCCATTTGTTTTACAAAGGTCAAGGTGTTTTTTTATTCAGCCTATGCTAGCTTTCCACAGGTGTGTGCTTTTCATGTATGTTTTACTCAGCTGTCTGACCTTGTGAGTGGCTAAAAGGGTGAGTTAATGTTCTCTGCGCTGCTGAATGTGGGTTTGTGCTGGCAGATGAACACAATCACATTAAGGGTGAACTCTTCAGTGTTTGGTAAAGTGGTCAATATCACCTAATTAGAAAAAAGTTGACTACATTTGCACAAACATGCATTTGTTTTAATCTAACATAATGTTGTTAATCTAATTTAAAAATGGTAACTTTTTTAAGAAATCCCGTTTCCATTTTTTAAAAGTTAATTCAAATGATCTGGGCTGACACTGCATTGTTTTGTATACTGTATTCCAGCGTTTCTCAACCAGTGGGCCGTGAAGCACCCTCTAGTGGTCAATGGGCCTGTGCACAGGGGAAGGCAGTAGTTCATACTGGGCCTATAATGTCATTTTGTAACAAAAAAAGCATAAGCGGAAAAAAGACTAACTTAATAATTAAAAATCGAGGAATCAAACATTTTCACATTATACCCAATATACATATGAATAGAGCTGTACAAAAAAAATGTCACAGAGTAGTAGGTGAATTAAACACTAACATTGATGATCAGATCTTTTTCAGTCCCTGATTCTCAGGTTTTTCAGTGTCAGCACTTAAGAAAAGAAACAGAAAATTGTATTTAAAGTTGATTTTATTTTTTCTGTGGGCGGCTATGTTTTGTACTTATAAACAGAAAAGAACCCCTGCTAGATTCCATTTCTGCTAAAAGATCCCCCTAAATCTTACACATGGCACCTTTAAAGGGGATTTTAACCGTTTAACTATACAGAAATTTTGAAAAATCTGCAGAATTCCACTTTAATGTACTGCATAGCTAGAATCTAAATCTAATCAGCAGTCGGACACAAGGTGACTCGCTCTTATAGCCAGTAAGGCTAGGCCAGGGTCGGAAACGGCTCTTTTACTTTCTTGTTGTGGCTCCGCAGCAAAATTAGAATTTTAGGTAAAAATAAAATAATCCTCCTTTGCAGTAAAATAAAGCCTGTTGATTGTTTTAACACAGTTTTAACCATAAATGGTCTTAAACATTGGAGTTAATGTAGCCTATAACTGCTAATACACCCTTTAACCCTGAAGGTTGGTGTGCAGACTGCTGGTCACCATAGCAACAACAACAACAACAACAATCTTGCCTAGCTAGCAGCTAATAAAAAAGGCAAAGAGAAAGAACAACGATAATTTAGAGACAAATAGACTTATTTGCATTTATAATCACTCCAGATGGTTTCCTGATACGTTTAATCTGCAAGGAGAACCTGTGAAACACTAAAAAGTCGCGAAGCTGAAGTTTCTCATTCACCGGCTTCGAATTTTCCCCGTTCCACCTTAAATGGTGCAGCAGTTATATTCTGGCACCTCAGGCCCCATTTAAGGTGGAACAGGAAAATCAGAACAAGAAGCCGGTGAATGAGAAGTGACTTCAGCCTCGTAAAAAGCCAATCATTGAGAGACATTTTACAAGAAACTGTTTCACTTTTGAGGAAAGTTTCCTGCTGGAGATGCAAGAAAGCAGCTATAGCTGAGCTAAAGCTTGAAGCAGAGCAAAGTAAGTCTGAATTTTAATTCATATTTTTTTTAGCTTATAATAGTACATCAGCACATGCTGAGACATATTTACAGCCAAGATGGTAAAATGGACATAAAATGGCTCCCAAGGTGGTAAGAGTTTTGTTGAAAGGACAAAATGGCTCTTCTTAACAATTGGGTTGTTGACCCCTGGGCTAGGCAATGAACCAAAGAACAAAAGGTTGACATACAGACAAGGGGAGGTAGGCCAAGGGAATAGAAACACACAGAGGGTGAAAAAACAAGACATCATTTTCTTGTTTCTTATTTAAGCAAGAAATAAATAAATAGACAGACAGATGTAATGCAGACTGCTGGTGCCAAGAAGTGGGGTTGACCCGACATCAAGAAAAAATCATTGTATTTCACTGAATCATTGATGTGCATTTGTTGAATGACATCAGTGAGAAAGAAATGATTAAAAACAGTGAGATTTCACATTTGTGAGTGCATTTTGGCTGATGAATTGTACTTTTCACTACGGTTATCTGCTGTTCTGGGCTTACATGCATCTGCCCAGTCACTGACCACTGAGGCTGGCAGCCTAAACCAGCCTACTTTATATCTGAACTATTTTTTTTTTTTTTGGCTGTTTTTCTGAACTTGTATTTTGTAAATGAAATGGTGGAATGTGAATCCCCTGCTGCCTGTGAAACTTAGTCATATCTCTAAACGGCCATGTACATGTACCAACACGCCGTGTGACGACAGCTACCTAGCAAAGAGCCACTGAAAGAGTCAGAGCTCACAAAGAGGAAATGAGTAAACGGTGTTCGCAGATAAACGGGGAGGCTTTTTGAGGAAATGAGGAGATTTTATTTACTCACAGTTTTTATACTGTCCTCTGTGGCGCTGACTGAGGGAGGTGAGAAAAAGAACCTCTTACATTCTCTGAATTAAGCTCGACCGAAAGTAACGGTGGCTTCTGGCTTCTGTCTTAGGATTATCAAGAGAAATTCAAATTCTTTAGATATAAACAATGATTTCAAGGGTTAAATCAAATATATTTTGTGTATGTGTATGACTATATTGTTTACCATCAAACAAATGTTGATTCTGTCTTATTTTAAATACCTGCGTGTCTTGTTATCCTTTTTTTAAATGCATGGGTGTCTTTTTTCTTTCCTAAGTACGTGGGTGTTTGTTTTCCCTATTTTAAGTATGTAGGTGTCTTTGTGTGTCTTTTTTTTAGGATGTTTGTGTCTTTTCTTAAGCATGTGTGTCTTTATTAAGTTCGCCTCCTTGTATCTACACTCTTTTTCCATTTTATCAGCTCCACCTACCATATAGGAGAACTTTGCAGTTCTACAATTATTTAAGATTCAAAAGTTTGTTATGTGCACAGAAAAAAAGCCACACTGCACAATGAAATTCTTACACTGCACTACCTCCCAGACTCCCCTTTTCACCATGTTCAGGACCCCACAGGACCACCATAGAGCAGGCATTATCTGGGTGGTGGAACATTCTCAGCACTGCAGTGACACTGATGTAGTGGTGGTGTGTCCACTCACTGTCCACTCTATTAGATACACTTACCTTGTTGGTCCACCTTGTAGATGTAAAGTCAGAGACGATAGCTCATCTGCTGTTGCACAGTTTGTGTTGGTCATCCTCTAATCCTTCATCAGTGGTCACAGAAGGCTGCCCACAGGACGCTGTTGGCTGGATATTTTTGGTTGGTGGACTATTCTCAGTCCAGCAGTGACACTGAGGTGTTTAAAAACTCCAGCAGCACTGCTGTGTCTGATCCACTCAGACCAGCGCAACACACACTAACACACCACCACCACGTCAGTGTTACTGCAGTGCTGAGAATGATCCACCACCCAAATAGTACCTGCTCTGTGAGGGTCCTTTGGGGTCCTGATCATTAAAGAACAGGGTGAAAGGGGGCTAACAAAGTATACAGAGAAACAGATGGACGACAGTCTGTAATTGTAGAACTACAAAGTGAAACTATATTGTAGGTGGAGCTGATAAAATGGACAATTAGTATAGATACAAGATGGTGTGCTTAATAAAGAGGCCAATGGGTGTAAGCTAAGTCAGCATATTGAAACTCTGGAGGCAGAGCTCACAGTGGTCTTCATCCTTCCTGTCTGCACTCGTTGCTTGAGATAAGAATGTGTCTGTGACCCTTTTCCTGAACAGTTATCTGCTATCACACTGATATCTGCAGATCCCAGTTCCAGTCGATCTATAACTCCCTGTTACAAGGTTCCCCAATACTGTGAAGAAAATGAATCCAACATCCCTCGGTGAGTTATGGTACTGATAAGACCACATGATGTGTAACAAAGGAAGTGGGTGTTCAACACACCAACTATCGTGTCTCAAACCATATAAACTTTATAATCAAACATTAATTTTGATTTTTTTTTTTCATTTTAATTGGAGTGTTCATTTTGTCCCTTGTTAACAGAGCCATAAACTAGAACCATTAACAATTATATAATTGATAATAAAAATATCTATCTAATTGATTGGCAATTTAAAACCATGAGATCCCTGAGGAAACCTCCTATAAATTACATAGGCTCTTCATTCAAACTTTATCATTTTATTCCTTAATAAACTTGGAGAATTTGGCGCAGCAGCAGAGAAATCCCTGCACAGGTGGTAATTAGGGGGATTCCACTTATTTTTCTAAATGCATGCATAATTAAACTGTTCTTTACAGTGGTGGTGATAGGAACCAGGGGTCACAATGTCCACAACACAAATATAGACATTTTATTTACTATCCAAAACCACCAGTGAGCCCACACATGTCTTCTGAGTTTTAGGTGATGTTGAGAATGGTAAATAAGTGGTACATTTTTTTAATATATTTTATTACTTTTCTATTC